TTACAAACTTGAAGATTGATTCAAAATTTATATAGGTACCCAAAAACAGAACGATTGATTTAAGTGAGGTTTTGATTTCTGCGGGATTTATCGCTTTTGTCTCTTTTACAGATTCAAGCAGTACCACACCGCAGGGGGCGCAGGCGCCCAGTGACGTGGCCAATGCCAATCCCGGAGCGGGAAACCTGAGCGTGCTGCAGGGCAAGCCGCCGCCCGGCCGGAAGATTGAGCGGGACAAGAAGATAGTGGTCTATATCCTAGCCGACAACAGCACCGAGTACAAGAAGCACAAGCGCGTCGTCCACAGCCTGTACAAACACTTCAAGAGCAAGTGCCAAAGCCGCGGCTTCGACTTCATCATCGCCGATGTCCACGACAGCGAGCCGGAGACGGAGCCGGGCAATGGCAATGCCCGGAAGGATTTCTCGCGCCTGCAGGAGGTGAAGCGCTGGACACAGACGCCGCTGGAGGCGCAGGGCGGTCACGAGGAGGCGGCCAACTGCCTGTGCGAGATCACGCGCCACTCGGCCGGAGCGTATGTGGTGCCGGTGCTCTTCCTGGGCGCCACCCTGGGCACTCCGATGCTGCCGCTGACCATCGAGAGCCAGGACTTCACCTCGGTGCTGGGCACAGCCAGCGAAGCGGAGCGCCTGCTCCTAGAGAAGTGGTACACCATTGACAACTCGTACCAGCCGATGTGCCACCGCCTCCATGCCCAACAGGTGGACCCGTACTCCGGCCAGGCGAACGGCGAGCTGAACGAGCTGCTGGCAGTCCTGTTGCGCCTGTTCTCCGACGACGTCAAGGACTCGTATCTGACCACCGTGGTGGAGCAGGAGATCAACAACACGGTGCTAATAAGCCAGGAGCTGGCCAAGCGTTGCATCTGGATCCAGATGGGCAGCCAGATGGCGCGGCCGACGGAGAATGCCAGCCAGTTGGAGCTGGAGGTCCAGCGGAGGATCAGTCATGTCTATTCCGGGCTAAAAAGCCAGTTGAGCGAAAAGAATCTCATCCGGCTGCTGCCCACGATGAGCATCCTGGACGAGGAGTTATCGGCGGTGATCGAGAACCTGCTGGACAAGGCTCTGGCCGGGATCTTTGAGGAGCACCAGCAGAAGAGCAGCATTCCCTACAACACGCTGGGCGTGGACCGGGTGCTGCTCGAGGAGCTGCGCCTGGTGGGCCACTACTCGAAGCTGCTGGCCCAGAACTCGGCCAACTTCGACATAATGAACGACGTAAAGCGCTACATCCGGGACAGCACCGCCCAACCGCTGGTCGTTTCCGGCGCCCGGGGTAGCGGAAAGAGTGTCCTGGTCTCCAAAATCATGGAGAACGTGCACCGCTGGAAGCCGGATGCCCAGCTCATACTGAGGTATGTCTAACAATACTTAGGGTTGGGGTCAAACCTCGAATGGTATGGGCCATACAGTTCAGAGTTTGTAAATTTAATCATATAAAATTCTGCATTTAAATAAAAACAAATAAATTTATGTGTCTCTCCTTTTTTTAGTCTGAAAAATAATATGAGCCGATAGCTCAATATCAAATAAACATAATTGAAAACGAAGTGTAAACAAATTGATAATTGTTTACGATATTTCCATTGATGTTGTTAATATTTTTGTCGCAAATTTCATCGTGTAATTTTAGAGGGGGTCGGATTTGAGACACCAATTGTTTATGCTCAATTCCCCGACACTTTCGAATTGTTAATGCTATAATTATTTTCAATCTTTCTCTTACTTTTTCAGATATGCCAATCTCAGTGCCCGGTCTTCGGATCTCACCTCGTTGCTGGGTTCAATGGCCAACCAGATGTCGGTCCTGGAGACAGGTCATCAATGTCAAGTGCCTCACGTAAGGAGACCAGTGTTTATCAAAAATGCACACTGATAATGTCCTTTCCTAAAATCAGACTCTTGAGGCCTATGCCCGTGTGATTCGCGAGATCCTGGACCGGCAACAACGCTTCTTTGTGCTGATCATCGACGGCGTGGACGAACTGCAGCGCGATGAACTGCTCGATTGGCTTCCCCAGCAGCTGGGCAGCGCCAAACTGATCCTCACCATCAGCGAGCTGGCGGATGAGGGCGAGGACGTGGACGGGACGGAGGCTGGGGACTCCTTTGATATGCTCGCCGCGCTGGCGCAATTGGGCATACCACAGCGGTGCTTCCTGCGGTTGCGTCAATTCACGGAGCGCCAGTGGCACGACATCCTCAGTTCCGGCGGTGGTGACTTCTACGCGGCCAATGGGGCACTCAAACTGCCGGACGAATGGAAGACGCTGCACGGCAAGACACCCTACCATGCCAAGTCCTTGTGGTGGCTCGCCTGGCTGGGACATGTGGCCCAGCCGATCGGTGAGATCGGGGACATCTCTGGCCGGATTCTGCAGGTCCTGGAGTCCAAGTTCGCCGCCGATCAGGTGGAACTGCTGCTGCTGATCGTCCGCCTGTCGCCGTGGGGCATCCGGGAGAGCGACTGCCTGGGCGTGTTCCAGAAAATGACCCAGCTGGAGGCGCAGGTCGCCTTCAAGGTCTGGTCCAAGTTCTGCTGGCTGATGGGACCAATGCTCTTAGGTCTTAAGAATATTAGGATAGCGGACAGGAGCTTTGGACGCGCGGTCCTGGCGAGGTATGCGCAGAAACAGTGGCTGGTACATGAAGCGCTGCGGGACTACTTCGACCGGCAGGACAGCGAGTTCAAGAGTAGCCAGGGTGCCAACACGTGAGTATCCATCGCTTGCATTTAAAAAATTCATTAGAAATAATTTCGTTAAAACAGTAAAACCATAGTTAGCTATTAAAGCCCTTTTCAATTCAAAAAACCAACCAATGATTAAAGATATTAATATTTAAAAACTAGATTAGCATACAAAAATAATACACACCATTTAAAATTTTTTTCTCTCCGATAGCTACAATTACCAAAAGTACTTAAAACTGCCTTATCATCACTTCTGTGCCGTAATCGAGGACAAGCCGGCGCCGCACAAGATCGACATACTCTTCAATTGCTTTTACTTTACGGACCTGCAGTGGATCGCCAACAAGGTGCATGCCACGGGACCCGAGCACCTGCTTCATGACATCCTGCAGGCGGAGTGGCTGGCCAAGTCCGGCGGCGACGATTGCTCCACCGACTACGTGCACATCCATTTCCTAAAGCAATTTATCGAGCAGTATCTCCACGAGCTGAGCTACGACGGCCAGCAGTTCTACACGCTGATGAAGTACTATCTGAAGACGCGATTCAGGGTGTCGCCGGAGCTCAAGGACGACGAGAAGATACGCTCGTGGTGGGAGTACACCAACGAGCTGGAGTTTGCCTTCCTCGAGATTCTGAACGCTGATCTGGATGCGGAGAACGGCAATCAGGAGCAGGAGAAGCCCTCGGAGGACGATACTCCAACCTCGATTCCAGTGAAGGGCTACGACGTCCTGATGAATCTGCCCCAATCCGGCTGCTATGTGGCATCCATGTGCACGGAGCGAGCTGAGATTTGCATCTGGGATGTGAAGAACTGCTGCCGCATCCGTGAGCTGCAGGGCATCCAGCAGCCGACGGCGATGTGTCCTGTGGGCAACTATGAGGCGGCTGTTCTGTGCCGTCGCGAGATTAGGGTTATCAATCTGGACGAGGGAAAGTTCAAGGTGAGTGACAGTTAAATTGGAAAATAAAGATAATGACTTTACATATTATTATAACTATTAACTATAACTTTGAGTCCCTAATTATACTTCCAATATACATACATTTTCCTCCGGATTCCAGGTCACTCTCAAAGGTGTAATGAACCAGAAGATGCCGTACTTTGGTCTCCACGACCAGAACCACTTGGTCTGTCTGTCCCGGAACCGGATGTATGTGAATTTGATGAATCTAGAGTCGGGCGACTGCGTTACCACTTTCAAGGCAGGCGAAGACCGCTTCCTCAACTCCCTTTTGGTCTCAGGAGACGGAAGGTAACTAGTTGAATAATTGCCAATTAAAGGAGTTTCTTAGTTCTTATTTGACTTTTAGAATCTTGGTATGCGGCGATGAGACCCAAAAGCCTTTCCCGCTTCTCGTTTGGCACCTTTCGCAGCGCAAGCTTCTCTATGACCTCCGAATTCCCCACCACGACTTCATCACCTCCCTGTCGGCAATCACCCACGAGGGCTCCTACGTTTGCGTGGTGGCCAAGGAGCTGAACGAGCCGACGACGCCCAACTTCATTGTGGTGTACGACCTGCAAAGTGGTACTCTGTTCAAGAAGTGGAAGCCCACCTGCAACAGCGTCTCCCTGGCCATTTCCCAGGTGAACGCCTGCGTCATCGCCGGCTTGGAGGATGCCAAAATTCTGATCTGGGACCTGGTCACGGGTAACTGCAAGAGCACCCTCATCGGCCACAATGCTCCGGTGACATTCTTGAAGCTGGATCCGCTGGGCAAGGTGCTGCTCTCCTACGACAAGGAGGGACGTGACTCGGCCGTCCGCATGTGGGAGTTAAATTCGGGTAAGTCCCAGAGCCTTCTTCTGGTCCAAAAGATTTATACAATTATTTATTGCAGCCAAATCCTTGGCCGTGTTCAAGCCGCCGGCGCAGGTTAGCACTTGTGAGATCTTGCCCAACGGAGCCTTTGTGGTGCTGGCCCTCAAGGATCGCAACTCCCTGCTGACCCTGGCCTTAAAGAACTACGGCGGAGGCTCGGGCGACGCCCTGGACGATGATTGCGGCACTCTGTACGGCAATCCGGACAACCAGCACAAAGTTTTCGACTTGAGTAATTAAATCAATTAACGCTAGCTATCATTATTCAAATTATAAATGAAATCTACCAGGGGGACAGCCCAAGAAAAGCAGAACTCTGAATTATTATAAATATGGCAAACAAATTTCTCATGCATAATTCATTAGATGTATGTAAAATTCTTTGAACAAATCTTACCAAATGTACAAAGCAAAGGAAATCCAAAGAAAATTAAAAATTTAAAAATCTACTCAGTTGATGATGGGTGTTCTTTATGTGGTTGCGAACAGATACAGCAGGTTCTTGGCAAACTGGATGATCTCGGTGCCGCCGAGCTTTGAGGTGCCGTAAATGCGATCCACGAAGGTGATGGGCACCTCGGCGATGGTGTAACCGTGCTGTCTGGCCCGCACCAACATCTCCATTTGAAAGACATAGCCCTTGGACACGCAACTGGCGATACATTTCTCCAGAACGTCCTTCTTGTAGAGTCGGAAGGAGCCGGTCAGATCACTAGCATCAGGACGCAGAAGCACCTGGGATAGAAAATTGGCACCGCGCGAGATAAGCTTGCGCTTGAAGTCCCAACCAAAAACGCCTCCATTCCCGGCGTACCGAGTGCCAGATACAATATCGTAGTCTCCCTCTTCCTGCAGCTTGATGAATTCCGGTATAAATTTGGGCTGTTGCGGAATAAATACACATTACTTTAAGCCAATTTATCAACTTCTGTTATCTTTGCTCACATGGTGACTCAGATCCGCATCAATGATAATTATGAAGTCCCCAGTAGCATGTTTGATGCCATGTATGTATGCCGTGCCCAGTCCCAGTTTGGAGCCCCGAGGCCTTAGAACAATCCTGTCCTCGCCGTAAATCTTTTGCAGATCCTTAGCTACGTCCAACGTTCCATCCGGACTGCCGTCATCAATAACAATCACCTCGTACTCCAAGCCGCTGTAATAGGATAACTTTAAATGCCTGTTTTTACGCCTTAAAGAGACCCCTGCTCACCTAGCCTTCATGTATTTCACAATTAGCCATATTATAATGGGTAAATTGTCCTTCTCATTGTAGGTGGGCAGCAGTATACTGTATTTATGGGCATTTGTTGGCATGGCTAATTTTCTTTTGGACCGTGTAAATAGTTCTAGTGCCAATTAGAGCAGTGTTGAAAAGTGTAAAATTACAAACAGCTGTTGAGGAATCGAAATTATTATCGATAGCTTTCGGCTAGTTGGCAACGCGGAATCTGCGATTTTGTAGAGGAATTTCCTGTAATTTTGTGCCAGTTTAGTTCGCGAACGGCCGCTTAAAACAAATTGTGGTCTTTATGTGCGGGTTGGCCAGAGATTTAGGCATAGTTGTGCGCTTTTGACGTCGTCAACATGGCCAAGAAAATACCTTTCAACGTAGTATTCGCCTCAGGTAAACAATTGTTGGGGAATTTTTAAACGCAAAACAGCAAATAGACTTTATTTGCTTTCTATAGTTTGCTTATTTGTTTTCTTTATTTTATGTTTTCTTTACGTTTTAGATTATAGTGTTAGCTCCGGCTGGAATTGGCTGAAGTCAGCATTTTTTTTTTACCTTTACTCCTTTCAAAATCCACTGCACTTGAGAAATCGATATAACACGCATACGCCTAGTGCGCCAGGACGTTGGAATTTAAAATGGAGTGTCGCTGCAGCTAATCTGTTGACAATATTCAATTTAAATACTGTGAGCTGCTAAATCAATTTTCCATAGTCTCGGCCAATTTACCACGGGCTAAAACCATATTATAATGAGTATAATATTTCATTATAATATTGACAGATTGCCGGTTGTCGGCTCTTTCTGCGTCTGCATATGCAATTAGAGTGGCGGCCAGAAGTTTAAATTTGGCTAGGCGCCAAGCTCTTTATTTTTGTGCTAGGACCTGACAAATTCCGGTTAGCCTTACTGGCCTCAGCCTCATCCTCTCCAGAATTGCTTACTGTGCCTGCTCCGCCTTCCTCTTGGACCTATATTTAAGTTTAGTCAGGAGCGATGACACTGGTGCAATGATGGTGAGAACATAAACCAGCGCGGTGATTGCCATCATGCCGGGAATAAAGTCATTGTCCACAAACTTGGTGAAGAACTTGGAATAGTAACCCAGGTAGATGGCACCCATGCCCAGGCTGAAGGTGAGCAAACCAAATAGATTATGGCGGAAACGCAACTCCGAAGGAGGCATCACCTTCAGGGCGAACTTGGGCTGGAAATAGTTGACAAAACCGCCCACAATGCTAGCCGCACAGCCAAAAGCAGCTGCTCCACCTACAAAATGTCATTTTTATTAGTTAACTAGAAGTATAGGATCCTGATAACTCAATTATACACTCACCTACTCGGCCGTGCCAGGTGTTAAAGTGGATATCCTTGTTGGAGAATTTGCCGAGTGAGCCCAACAGGACCATGGTACCACCTACAATTTGCAGGATGGCGTGGAAACGCGCCTTGTTGCGGTGCGACAGCCAGCGGGTGAGCGGATTCACCTTTGAGTGCGACATCATGGCCTGGGCGATTAGGACGTGGAACTGTCGAGAGCAGGGAAAGCCTTATAATTCAACCCTTAGATAAGATAACTTGCATGCCTGTTATCCAGGTCAATCTAACACCATTGATTATAGTGTCGACTTCTTATCACAATGTACTCACACCAGTGCCAGTCATGAACATATGCATGGCCGTATCCTTAAAATCCAGACTGCGGGCCAGGACAAAAAAGAAGGCGGCCACCAGAAAGATCAGCATGTGGTTTATGCTGTTCAGTATGCTTTGGATTTGCACCCAGGCAGTTGCTCCCGTGTAACCTTCCGGCATTTTCGTTGTTTTCTTTCAATTTGTTAAGAGACCTCAAGTCAGTTATTTATACTATTAGATGCCGCCGTCAATTTTACTACATCAGATGCAGAGCACGGCACGAGCAACTCGACTAAACTAGCATGTTGCTCGGCAGCGCTTAAATACAGCACAGAGAACGTGGAACCTGGAGATAGAGAAAAAGAGAGAACAACAAGTGAGATATGGTTGTACAGCTGTGTCCAAAATAACAGATCCACCTAACTTCTTATTAGTTAATCAAAAGCCTCGACTTGGAAATGATTTAAAACTACATTTGATATTTGTAGAATTTTGGAATAAAAGTTTTTTGGAAACTCAAACACTTTTCCTATTAAGTTTTCAATAGAATTATAATTTTCTCTTACAAAATTGTTTAGTTATTTTACATTTTCTAAGACTATAAAATGCTTTAGTTTTGACCGCAGTTATTAAAGAGCTTAAAGTGCGAAAGAGAAGGAAAAAAGAGAATGTTATCTTAACCACTGGTAAAATTTTGGCTGAATATGCGAAAAAAGAGACCTGATAAGAGAACTTTTGTCCCCTGCTCTATTACCTCATAAGTCGGGGCTAGTAATGATGACTTGATCACTTTTTGTGCCTTCCAGACGAAGACGTGAACTTTCCGGCCAGCGAGCTTAACAATCACGGACCCACTGTTCATGGCTGGCGGAGTGCTCCGGATGGCGGACTCACCTCACATGACATTATCCTCCGTTTCCAGCAGCCGGCCAAGATTTATCGAATCCAACTCCTTGCCCACCAGTATCTTATACGTAAGTAAATCCCCTGCCAATTACAGTTGTATCTAGAATAAAATGGAATGTGCTGAAAAAATGTATAGAAAGATAATAACACTAGTATATGCGTTTTAACTATTGAAAAATGTTTGTCTTAAATAATTCGAGGTGGATATTTGTTTCAAGTATCTCAAAACATCTGGTTAAAGCTATTGGTTTAAACTACGCTTGTATTGAAATTCATAGAAGTTATTATAATAGTTAATATTAATAGTTTTAAAAAGGTTATTGTCTAACACGTTAATAAAGTATATAGTATATACACTACGTTATATAGTATCTTATGTGATCTTAATAATCTCAAGTAATATTTTCTCATTTTTTCTATAGCTGAGAAAGTGGAGCTCTGGCTGCACTACTCACCCAAATCCCTGCCGAGCACTCCATCCTCGCAATACTTTGACTTCCTGGGCTTCGTTGCCTTGGCGGACAATGCGAATACCAACTACAAGTCGCGGGAGCTACAGAGCGTCACCGTGTGTCCCCGGCGGGGCACCCACCTTAAGTTGCGACTGATTGGCGTACAGGGCAACGACTACAATGGCACGGGTCAGATCTCCCTGTTGGCTGTGAACGTCCTGGGCGAGGATCTGGAAGTTGGGCCAAATAATGGCAATGGAGAAGACCACCTGGGCAACAGTGATGCCCCACCGCTGGACACGGCCACCGGGGAACTGGCCCTGGCCTCCATCTGCGATGACCTGCTGTTCTCAATGTACGTCGAAGAGTCCATTGTGCAGTCCATCCGGGAGTTGGAGCAGCGCAAGGTTTTGGCCGTGAACGCCGAGCGGTTCGAGTACGCCCGCAAACTGAAGCTCTGCATGACGGCTCTGAGGAGCGCCGGCGAGCGTTTGGGACGTTATGCTCTGGCCAAACGGCAGGCTGTCCAGCAGGAGGACTTCACCACGGCGAGGCTGCGCAAGGAGCAGATCGAGATGTACAGGGCGGCAGTGCTGCGCCAATTGCAGGTGCAACAGCTGCTGGAACCGCAGGGCGTGGCTATTGGCTCCAATGACCAGAGCTGTGAGATCTATGCGGGCGGTAAACCCAGTCTACCCGCCGCTCCGAGTCTTCAGGACGTGGCCCAGGCCCTCGCGGAAGCCACCTTCAGTCCCAAGAGCCTGACGAGTCTCAGTTTGGATGACAAGTCCTCCACAGATGGCTCTCAGGGACAGCCTGGTAATGATGGTGTGGTGGCAACTCCTGCTCCCGCACCTGCGCCCGCCTCCCTCCAGGCCACGCCCACCCCTACTCTGGGCGGCTGGCGCAAGTCCCATGATGAGCTGCCCCAGTCGCCGCGTCTGCCTTCCAGGCACAGTTCACCCATGTCCAGTAGACAGGGATCGCTGCGCAGGCGAAACAAGAGCGTTCCCCGCAACTCCTACGAGGACTACGAGGAGCGGGCCATTCCCACGCTTCGACAGTGAGTACCAAGTGTAGAGTGAGGCGTAATCGTTGTCTAGTTGTCTACGAAATAGGTTTACCAATTTGGAATAGAAATTATTCTTTGTTTATACAGCTGTCAATTACAGTGTTGCATGACGTAGTCTTAGTTTGAATGTTTGTCAACACTAACGACCAGTAGTCAATCGAAAGATCAACCGTAACCGTTCGTTGTTTTAAAATTTAAAATTATTTCTTAGATCTGCACAGAAGAGAATATTTTTAATATCATTTTGGAGGCTGACTATTTGCATAGAACTTGGTGGACACTTCCATTTTGGAAATTTCTAGCAAAATGGCATTCTTAAAATGATTCTGGTTCAATTCTTTAAAAAACTGCGTTTTCAACTTGGTTTTTTTTTTGGGGTCGATTTTTCGTCATTTAATGGTGTTACCCCTTTCCAAATTTTCGAAAAATGGCTATGCAGAAAAGTGACCTAAAACCTGCACTTCTAAGCCCATAACTTTTCTTGCAGACATCCGATTTCAAAGTGGCTTACTTCTAAATGATTGTGGTATAATTCTCTGAAAAACTGCGTTTTCAACTTGTTTTGTTTTTTGGGGTCGCTTTTTTGTCATTTTAATGGTGTTACCCCTTTCCAAATTTTTGAAAAATGGCTATGCAGAAAAGTGACCAAAAACCTGCACTTCTAATCCCATAACTTTTCTTGCAGACATCCGATTTCAAAGTGGCATACTTCTAAATGATTGTGGTTAGATTCTCTAAAAAACTGCGTTTTCAACTTGGTTTGTTTTTTGGGGTCGTTTTTTCGTCATTTTAATGGTGTTACCCCTTTCCAAATTTTCGAAAAATGGCTATGCAGAAAAGTGACCTAAGACCTGCACTTCTAATCCCATAACTTTTCTTGCAGACATCCGATTTCAAAGTGGCATACTTCTAAATGATTGTGGTATAATTCTCTGAAAAACTGCGTTTTAACTTGTTTTGTTTTTTGGGGTCGATTTTTCGTCATTCTAAAATTTTCTAAAAATGGCTATGCAGAAAAGTGACCTAAAACCTGCACTTCTAAGCCCATAACTTTTCTTTTTTATTTTTTTCAAACTAATATTGATTAATATCTTGGTTTTTGTTTCTTGAAATGTTCCCAGCTTAGTTTCAATTATAGTTTCCAATTTTACTCAAAACAAGCTTAAGATGGCTTAAAGATAAAAATACTAAATTTGAATTTCAATTAAATTATTATGGGTATATTTGTCTGAAAGGGTACCTAAAGCTTCGGTGAGCCGAAGCAAGAAATAATTTCCTGTTGATTTACCTTTAATTGTACTTACTTTTCTACTCCTATATATATATTGTAACCGCATCCGTAAACGTTGCCATTCCGATACCACAAAACATAAACCGCTCACAGTTCAAATACTAATGAATTTTTAAGGGAGTGCCAAGGCAACGCGATACTAGAAGCGGATCCAAACCGGGGACGTTCGCGTTTGAACGACCGCGAACGCCGCCAGGCAGCCCTACCCATCCTGGTTTTCGGCAGTGAGTTGGTGAGTCCTGTTATAAATGTCATAAATGAAACTAAAAAGGGGGACTCTTCCAAGTCTGTGCTTCAATAAATTATTGTAAAAAGTTCACACACTTAGATGAATAAACTCGGAACTCTCTATAATAAATATGTACAAATCAAACCAAGAATTCTTCAGATCATCAATTAGCTTAGGCTACTGTTGTTATTCGTTTCACAATTTTAAGGAGATACAATAAAACCACAATTTCATTAGTAGTAACATAGCAAGCATTACCAAAAACCCACGATTCTTGAGTATAGTGTTATTTCTAGTTCTAAATAAATATTTTATAAAACTTTTAAGTGGTTTTTTTTAGTAATTTATTCATTCATTCACCAGGTGGAGCAATTCTACTCACGTCAGTTTCAGGATCGAGAGGATGGTTTATTGCGTCTGCGCAACTTCCTAAAGGAACATGACCTGGTGGAGATTACGGGCAACGAGCACGCCGCCAGTCCCAACAAAGTAGCCCGCAGCGCAGCCCTGCTCCTCCATCGCGCAGTGAGGGACGCTGTTTACTCCGTATTCGGCCAGGCCACGGAGACGGTGCGCATGCTGTTCCTGGAATACGTACCGGGACGCGTTTCGCCCAACGAGGTGGCTCGTTGTGTGGACCGCCTGCTGCCCGAATTGCTGGCCAAGTCCGGAGATCCATCGGCTCGACTGCACACTCTGGCCCAGCACACCATCCTCAGCATCGCCGCCTGTCCGGAGGTGGCGGAGCAGCATCTGGTCGCACCGGCACTATCGCGAAGCGTTGGATCTGGAACCCACCAGCGACTGGCCATGAGTCGCCTTCAGATGCTGGAGCAACTGGTGCACACACAGGGCATCAGCACAGATAAGCACAGTGGGCTAACGTGTAGGGCACTCTCCGAGTGCGGCTGCTCCGGCATCCATCATCCGGCGGAGCCTGTGCGAAAGGTGGCCGAACGCATCCTGGTGCTCGTGTACAAGGTTAATCCTCGACTGGTGCGCAAACAATTGCCTCCGGATGATGACATCACTCGTCGTAATCTCCTGTACCGCCAACTCTTCACCGAGTTCGACAAATTGGACTTGGACCGTAAGCAGGAGCTGCTGGAGGCCAACAAATACGCCGGGGGTCACAGTTCGGGTGATGCGGCCACACCCCCTGCGGACAAGGCATCAACTAGCTCAGATGCTTCTCGGCTGATGATGAACAGCCGAAGTGGACATGGTCTGGGCCCAGTGGCCAGCTCTAGCAATGGATTCGCGAGCTGCAATGGAAAACAGCAGTACAATGAGCAGTTGAAGCGCTCTATGCTATCCGTTTCAAACTCGCGCAAGGGGTCCGCTTCCAACTCGGAGTCCACTGAAGATAACTCACCTAAGATGTGAGTAGTAAAAGTTGACAATGACACAACTTTCCAATTTCATCCAATTTTTTATTAATATAAGCTACAACTTCTATTTTTCTTGGGTCTTTATTATATTTATTTAAATATATTTTAATAGTTTTTGATAAGTTTGAAAAGTTTTTTTATGTGCTATAATTATTTGTAAATTTTTTTAGACGATGCCCCTTCTGCAACTGGTCGTGTGTTGGCAGTGACGCTAGCCAGTTGGACCGACACTACTGGAAGGCCTGTCCTTTTCTCACCAAGTGCCCACAATGCAGTCAAGTGCTTGAGGTAGCCGCCCTCAACTACCATCTGACTAGTAAGTTCAAGGGATACCTATATGATACAATATAATAAATATGATTGATATTCCACAGCTGAATGCGATGCCAAGGAGAGCTATGTGGTCTGTGCCCGCTGCACTGAATCGGTGCACAAGCAGCTGTATGAGCTGCACCAAATGGAAGACTATTGTCGGGGTACGCCTCAAAACTAAGATCTACTCTATATGGGCACTAATTTTATTATTCTCTCCTTTTCAGAACTGAAAACGGGAGCTGCTCGATGTCCTCTGTGTCATGACGATGTGCACCTGCCCCAAGATGGGGGCTGGAAGTTACACCTACTCAGCGCTGGCGGATGTCCTGGAAATATACGCAAAAAGAATCTCAAAAAGTCAAATTAGGCACCTTAAAATTAACCGATCTATTGGCATGCGTAGCGAATTTATTAGGGCAACTATACTAGTCAGGAGGCGTACTGAAAGGAGCTAACTAATTACATCCGCAGTAGCCATAGCCGTTAAGTTAATTAAACCAATTTGTTCACACTCTCCACATTTCATTTAAAAACATTTTGTTAAGTCAATTAGTTAGATTTATTTATAATGCTAATTTTTGTATTTTTTGTAAGCAATGTGATTTGTTAACAGTAACTCGAATTTTTGAAACGTCCTTACAATAAATAAAGCCCATCCATACAGTTTTAAACATCAATTTTAATTGTCATTACTTAAGTAACATTATTTGGAGGGGAAGCTCCAATATTTTCACTGCATTTACATGCGAAACCCACATTCGTTAATAAATTTTTAATTGCTTTGCATATAAGGCATATGCAACACAATTGCACGATTGATTACAAAATAATGGTTATATGTATGAACAAATGCGGTCATGGGAATAGAAAAACTGCAGCTCAAATTTTTAGAAGTCTTTTTTTCATTTACTTGTAAAAGATATATCTCAGCAATAAAGATAAATATCAAAAAAAAATGTCTGGTTTTCCCAAAATAGTATTTATTGTCATATATTTGTATAGAAACTCCGTTTTTTCAATGCACACGGTGCTTAGTTAAATTCGTTTTAAAATATATGAACTCACTAATCGTTATAAAGATATTTTTTGCACATCAAATAAGAAAGTGAAAGTTTAATGATTCAACAAAGCAAACATTTTTTAACGGAAAATTTTGAATTTGTGAGAACTACGATAAGTGGATTTTTCGAATGTTATAATTTGCGCCAGTACTATTTTAGTGCGCACAACTGTGCGACTTCAGTGTTGCAAAACATCCCCAGTCAAGTGCGTCAGTGTTGGTCGGTGTGCGTGTGAGAGCGTGAAAAAAACAGCCGGCAGCAGCGGCGGCAACAGCAGCGGCAGAAAAGAAATAGTTTTCGCAATAAAAATAAACGCCAGCAATAGCTGAAAGTCGTGCCCAGCATTTTCGCGTCGAGTTCGGTTAACATTCAGTCATCATGTTTTGATTTGGCCATCCAGTTAATAAACGTTCGGAAGCGTTCAGGCGTTGCTTTTATCAAAAACCCCCGCCTCCCATCGCGTGTTTTTCCGTTTAGATTAAAATACTTGAAAACCCAATTTCTACTCGTAGCCGCACTAAAGCTATAATAAAATGCAGAAGCTATTCAGACGGTTGATGGACCATCAATATCTGACGCGGGACCACATTAATGGATTCGACAATTACAAGGTGCGCAAAAGGATCTGAAATAAGGATTTACGGGGGCGGCTGTACTTTCCTTCAAGAGGGGGTGACCTTCTTAATTCCCAGAAACCAACATCAAAACCAGTTCTCGGTGCCCCCGTACTTGTTTTTAATTAAAATTCTTTTTATAGAAAGCCAGCGGAACCCAGACAAAGCAAAATAAAGCAAGAAAAGAAAGCTAAAGCCATTGAAATAGTCGTTAAACTGAAACTCATCAGTTTAATAAGAAATTTCTATACTTACAACCGCGGAATTGGTTTTTTAATCAGAGTTTCTTACTTACAGTACAGCGCCATCGACACTTCCCCCCTGAGTCAGTATGTGATGCATCCCTTTTGGAATTGGCTAGTCAAGGTAAGTGCTCCGCAGAATTATATCATGCAAAAATCAATACTCATAAGAGGGCAAACCACTAATCAACCCAACCAACAACCCACCCACTGTAGTTCTTCCCGCGCTGGTTTGCGCCCAACCTGATGACCTTCCTGGGCTTCCTGTTCGGCGCCATGAACCTGGTGCTGCTGTCATACTACGACTGGAACTTTGAGGCCAGTTCCGGGGAGGAGGGCACCACGCCCATTCCCCCATGGGTCTGGTTCTGCACAGGAGTCAACATCTTCTTGGCCTACACGCTGGACGGAATTGATGGCAAGCAGGCGCGAAGGATCGGATTATCGGGCCCACTGGGGGAGCTCTTCGACCACGGATTGGATTCGTACACGGCTATGCTGATTCCAACGTGTCTGTACAGTATTTTCGGCAGGAGCCGGGTGTACTCGGTGCGACCCATGAGGATGTACTACGTCTGTCTGACGGTCTACTTCAACTTCTTCGTTTCCCACTGGGAAAAGTACAATACAGGTATATTGTACCTGCCCTGGGGCTATGACCTTAGCATGTGGGGCAGCACAGCCATGTACCTAGTCACCTGGTGGATGGGCTTTGAACGCTGGAAGTTTGAGCTGCCGCTGGGATCCTACGGCACCTTGCCTTTGGGCAATGTTATGGAGGCTGTGCTGCATGTCAGTGCCATGGCTAATCTTCCCCTAGTCATCATTAATGTGTACAAGTAGGTCTTGCTTTCAAATTTGGTTAGAACACCATTTTTAACTTCTTCTATTTGCAGTTCCTATGCGCATCGCACGGGACGCATGCTGTCCTTTTGGGAGGCCATTAGGCCCATGTGGCCCTTCCTCACCTACTTCGTTATCCTGCTGGTCTGGCCATATGCTTCACCAAACGACATCATGGAAAAGGATCCGCGTGCCATATTTATGCTGAGCGGCACCATCTTCTCCAATGTCAGCGTAAGTCCTTAAAAATTATTTTATGGGTGATATACATACTAAGCTTCATCGGTATAAAAATAACTTATATGACCTCATATTTGATGACTTTACTTTTTAAGAACAATAGCATTTGATATTGATAAAGTTGTATTTCTCTCTTACTCATTTGGAGTATATTATTAGATAAATTGCCATTTACAATTTTTTAATTCTACTGGAAGTTTTAAAATTGTTTATTGTATTGCTAAAAAATGTAATCAGTCACCGTGCTGTTCCACTCCAATTATCAAATCGTGTCGCGTGTAGGTTGAATCACACACAATCTAGATAAGAGGCGGGTGTGTCTACCGCTTTTTCTGTCCCCTTGGCACGGAGTTTACTGCCAAACAGCCACAAACAACATTTAATGAGTCATTTGACTGTGATAAAACGCACACGGGGAAAAACAGTTCGAAATGCCACCCTTTTGTTGTGGTGGTCGGCGCTGTGCCAAGGATCTTGAATTGGAAAAGCTGAATGAAGGCGGTCGCGATTCACTAAAGGATACAATATACACAACGGCCCCGGAATATGAGCGTCCGTTATCCCTGAAATTCTACGCCCGTCACGACTGGCCCTATTTCAACTGTATGAGTCCGGAGGTACGGCGCATACGTGAGAAGCTTGATCCGGAGTCGCTGCAGAATGAGCAAAAAATAGCTAGCCACGACGAGGGAATTGAGCATAAGTACGACATGAAGCATGGAACGCCGCAGCCGATGACGGTCAACCAGATCTACGGCTGGTATTCGGATAGGGCTTATCGCTATTTGAAAAAAGACCGAGGAACTTTCGTCTTCCCCCACGAAAACGATCCAATGATTGAGCAAATTTTGAGAAACAAACTTAAACCAACTTAGACCATTTTGCAGTTCAACCCTTTAAGATTCCAACGTGTTACAAATTTAAGTCAGCTTCCATTAAATATAATTTCGATTCGATAACAAAAATAGTTACATAAAAATATTTAAATGGGTTTTAAAATTAATGACCCACTTTTATTAATACTTTAAAATTTCTATTGCAGTGCCGGCTGATTGTCTCCCAAATGTCCGTGACGAGATGCGAGGCGTGGCACTGGCAGACGCCCATGTTTGTCATGTCCTTCCTAGTCAGCCTATGGCTGCCGCTGCTGGAGAGGCCCTTGCTGTACATGCTCCTGCTGGTGACTACATTGAGTCACTGGCAGTACGGAGCCAGCGTCGTGAACCAGATGTGCCAGCACTTTAACCGGGTCTGCTTCACTGTCCACAAACGGGTGCCTGAGGAGGACCTGTCCAAAGGGAAGGTTCTGCTTTCAGAGGAGATCACCCAGTCAGAGAGACAACACGAGGAGCCGTTGAAGAAAAAGGATTAGGGCATTGAATTACGCGGCTTTTATTTATCTGCGAGTTAATGTCCAAGTTTTCTGGGCATCATGGAGGCTGTTTAGTTAAACAATTCTTGTGAGATTATGTATAATTTTTCTTAGTTAGAATATACTTAAAAATGGACTTTATCCTAGTGCTACAGTTATGTTGGAGCTTGTTCCGGCTTCTCCCCAATGACTATTCATGTAATGCTCTCTTCCAATGATAATTTTTAAACTCTACGGTTTAATACCAACTTGACGTTTTTGAATTCAAACTCTAATGACCCATAGTCGATCAATTATACAAGTAAGCAAGACAAGTGATCTGATCTGCTGCTAAGTTATAAAATTAGTATTAGTTGTTAGGTTATAGTAGCGGCCAGACAAGTTCCAGTCCATAAACACAATAATGCAAGAACAGAACAGTTTACAACTTATTATAACCTTTAGCTTTTTAATTGTATTGAAATCGTTACGCAAAATCCTTAAAAACACTTTTATAAACAACGCTCGCTTCCGCTGACCTTAAAATATCAACCAATATTTTAATGTTTTATATTCGTCTAGACATAATCGAATAATTTCCATGCTCTATGCTTAATTTATTTACATTGTATTACTTCGTAATGCTCCACAAAAGCAAATACACAAACACTGCAGCAACGTTTTAAACTAAAATAACCGCAAAGACCTCTAATTACCTAAACACATAAACAAATCCATTATTTTTAAAGTAAATCCCAATGTCATTCAACTGTAATGTGACGTCGTCCATAGCGCCACTGCACGCTTTATTTTGTATGAAACCAATTAATGTACCCGCCTGAAACACACGTAAAAGACAAGACAGTGTAAAAGACAAGACAGTATACAAATAAAACAAAATATTTTGAAATGCTCAAACCGAGTTTTGAGATGAGATCGCCATTTGATTTATGACTATCCGCTGACCCCTTTTATCGAGATTCCAGATCACAACTAAGCATTTTGCCTGCTCAAAGATTAATTTGTAGGCCTTAATGACAGTTTAAAGTCCTTAGTCACACTTAAATTTTAAAATCAGATTAAATAAAAAGAATTTACTTTCCAACTTGATTTGTTCAATGTTAGCCACCTCAATAATCTATGTATCTGAAAGGTTTATTAATATATTTTAAAGATGTTATCTTAAAGTTCCTAAGGTTCTTAAGACCATTTCAAGGTCACTTGGTCAGGGTTTACAAATATTTTTGAACGAATATTAACTTCTATATCCATAATCATACATTTTCTAGTATTTCGGCTTTCAATCGCCCAATCTTATGGTCAGAATCTGTAGAACTTTATTTATGACCGCACCTGTGAGTACATAAATGCTGCACCTATGTTTGGCGAAGGCATAAATCAATTTAATAGAACCCTCATGATCGGATTGATATCGTTTGCTCAGGTGACAGCGGACTGTGATGCGTACGTGATGTGGCTGTTAGCCTAGTCAATGGGGGAACAAAACGCTTCCTCATTAGCTAATTGGCGTGAAAATCGGCGACGAGCTCCACTGTGCCGGACGATGGGAACCGCGGTGACAGCTCCTCCCCCTCCGCCGCCACACCCCGCCTAACGGCTGGGCAATATCAATAAACGGAGATGGTCACCGGCTACCAAGTCACGCCGTCGAAATGGGCACGGCCGAACAAAAAGAGACGGTCAGAAAGTAAGTGGCATAAATAAAAGCAAAACCAGAACGAGAATCGAGCATCAAGAAGAGAGAAGAAAGCCGCAGCAGCAGAGGAGTTACACTCAGAAAAAAGTGTGTGTAATGATAGTCATTTCAGGTCCTTAAATCAAAAGACGTCCTTATGAGACTTCGCCAACTATATATTTTATATTTTTGATCAGGTTTTAATGTAGCCATCTCTATTTGTTTCTAAGCAAACTGATAAGAATAAAAATATACAACTTAAAACTTTTACGAATTTCAACCAGATATAGTTCTCTTTGTTTTTCTAATATTTATTTAATTCCAAAAGTTATTTTTTCAAACCACAATTGTTGTTTTCTTTTCAATCTTTGAAGTTGATGAGAAATGTACTACAGTTGTTCTGAAATAATCTTGAAATATATTTTTCTCATCTAATTAAATAAATTAGAGAATCGCTTTTGTAATTCAATATATTTTGCTCAGTGTACCGACGACGCCAGCGCCAGAATATGAAAGTTGCGCCTGCGCTGACATCGGATCTCTCCCGTCGGACTGGGAATCAGTTGCGAGGCAGAAGCGCGCGAGTTAAGAACGCCGAGCGGAGCAACCTGACCTGAAGAACTAAGATCGACCAAGAGAGATGGCCTGGAAGACTTTTACGCTATTAGCGCTCCTATTGGCAGCCACTTTGGCCAATCCCTTGAGTTCCACAACGGAGCTATCTTCCCCACCAGCTTCTACTTCGGAGCTGACCCAGATCATTAAGGAGGAACACTTCCCGGCCATGGCTCCGCCCCAGGCAATTGAATCCAGTGGATCCAGTGGCCAACCCATTTTACTTCAACCTCCTCTAGTCTCCTCCACCGGAGATGATGATGCTTTGCGTCGGCGGACTGTAACCTACGATCAGCGACAGGAAGGGCAGTATAACATACGTGCGGATCTCGAGAACTTTATGATCCTGCTGATCCCGCCCGGACCGCAGGAGGGAATCAGCCTACTGGAGCTGTTGGGCCGCGGAAACACTAAGGGCCCAGGAGCCCTCAAGCGTAAGAATCCGTTGAGGAGCAACTCCCTGAAGTCCTTCTACCAGAAGAGCCAGCTCCAGAAGTTGCAGCAGCAACAGCACCACCATCATCAATCCTCGCCAGCGGTGGCCCTGCCTGAATTCATTGAGGGACGCTCGCCCTATCATGTGGACATCTCGGCCAGCGATCCCGAGCAGGCACAACGTCTGCAGCGCCAGCAGGTGGACGTGCTGCCTCCGCAATTGATACCCATGCCGCAGCTGATTAAACCCTATCATTTGGAGGCGGAACCGGAGCTGATTCAGGCCCTGCCCCCTGTTTCCGCTAGCAGCAGCAGTGGCTCTAATCTCCTCGAGAGCTACAACCATCCGGGATCGCAATACTTTCGCAGTTCCCGATCCCTGAGGGGCGATAGCTACCTGGATACCAATCGTCTGACTGGCGGTGACTTTGCAAGTCCGCGCTCCATCAGTGCTCCCATTTACCGCAGCGATCTTGGAGGCGGAGCCAATGGTCTCTATCCCCCAATAGATGCCCCCACCTACTTCTCAGACCAATCTCGCTCTTGGCAGCTGGACGAGGAGCCCACCAGGGCACAAGCGCTGGAGCCGGAGATCGTTAGCTTCGACCTGTTGGCCGATGACGACCTGGCCGAGTCCCGGACCCTCCTCCGGGACGGATTGGCCCGCTGTGCCCGCGGAGAGCGGCGGGACAGCTACGGAGCCTGTCGCCAGATCGAGGGCTACTGAGGAGGAGTGAGAACCGCCAGACTGCCAGCCTAAATGTTAGTTTCATACTTTGCACACTCTAGAATTAAGTCGACGAAAACGTCTTACCAATAAATACAAAAACTTAATCGCTACTGAGAAAAATATCAAGAAAAATTGGAATATGATCTTAATTTTTAAATCGTAATCATTAATAATGGGATTTGGATAACTATTAATCTGAATCTTACATTACTCATAACGAAAGTTGTAATCACTTTATTATTTAATACCATTTAAGTGTTAAGCTCACATATCATTACCATTTAGAGGTTTACCTTAAAACAATAGCGGAAGTGGGCACTGGATCTAACGGTTCGACTATGATAATAACGATGCGCTGAAGGATGAGGCTAAACTCTTGACAGCCAGGGGCCAGAAAACGGCAATTACTATCCAGAGACAAAGGCCAGCTGCTCCATAATTTGCAATGCTCAAGTTTTCTAGGCCAAAACCAGTTTGCAGGTGGGCGCACCCAAAGGCGACTGCCAGCCTCTTCCTGTGGTCAAGTCATTGAACCTGCGCCCAGAACTGCACCCAGACTAGATAACTGGAAGAGTCAACAGATTTCGGACGCACATATATTGCAAGCGGGGCAATTAGTATAGTCATGAAGATTTCCTATTTCTTTTGGGCTTAGCTCGAATCGAGGTTATTGGGTTAACATTTTTTGGAATCATGCTCACCGGCGTCATTTCTTGAAGTCAATGATGGGAGGCTCATCTTTTAACAAAAAATATTTATTTCTATTTTTACTTTGAAGTAGGAAAACTTACATACGTAAGTTATTAATAAGAAAATATTTTAGAAGTTGGAACAAAAAGTATTTTATTTGAAGATTGTTGTCTCGATAATCTTCCACTGAAACGAAATTTGGTTATTAAAAACTTGTTCAAGTAGGCTCTTCTAATACATATATTTTTTAAATGTAAGACCTAAAAGCCAATAGATAACCTTTAAGAAGGAATCCTTTAGTTTAGCGAACAATCTTACACATAAATAGAAATGTGGAATCGGAGAACATCAACCACAGATCTCTGCAGATAGCTCCTCTCGAATGGAAATGCTTTCTTATATGGCTGCGAGGAAGCATTAAAAATGCACTGAGTATAAGATGATTCCCACAGCTCCCTGGCAATGCGGAAGTCTTTGGGCTTGGATCGGCGGCCATTGAACCGTGTCCAGAAATCGGGTTTTCTTGGTCTTCTTGTCCAGAGGTGGGCTCGCCTTCAGTGCGGCTAAGAACCTAAAATCATTCACCAAACGTCTTTGGAGCACATCGGTCCTGTCGTTTTTCGCTTGGGAAAAATGTGCAAGTTCACCAACCGGCTGTTCGTCTTTGCCCTGCTCATGCTGGCATTTGGCAAACTGCTGGCCCAACCCGTTGGTGGAAAGATTAGGCCGGGGAATTCGAGGAACGTGGTCAGCGACCTGCTGGAGGTCTTGTATGATGATTACTCCGAAAATGGTTTCCAGCGGGAGGACATTCTCTACGATCAGAGGCAGAAGGGCGCCGAAAACTTTCAACTCAAGGTGGATGGGGTCGTCATAGGCATGGCCCCTCAAATGGGTTCCAACTGGCTGTATTCAATGGCTGAATACTACTTGAGTGAGTACTGAAAAGGGGTATGCAAAATTCCGATATAAAGTGTCCTCCTCCTCAGGTGAAATGATGTTGCGACAATCTACTCCAGAACCGGATACAATTCAAATGTACGAAAAGGATTCAGGTACAGAAACGGAATCTGGAGCCCCCGAGAACGTTACTAAAATTCCAGAGCAGATCAAAAATGATTTGGAAAGTAGACAACATCAAATTATAGCTTCTCAGAACTCAAGCCGGTTAGTTGCATAGAACAATGTACTTGTTGGCTATCAATTGTCATTATTTCCATCCTTTTTCAGGACTCCATCTCAACTGCTCCAGTTGCTAAAGATGCTGAAAAGCTCAAAGGCATAAAATTGTATATTTAGAAAATGCAGTTAGTTGTATGTTTATAGATGACATATTCAAAATAAAATCCTTCTTCATATTTAAATATCTGTTGGAGATATTGTAAAGGGTACACTGTTTTGGTATTTTTCTCATGGAATTAAGTATTCAAAATCACCGTTCAATAAAATTGCTCACTTCAAAAGACGTTTATCGAATGAAATACCTGTTAACAAAATTCAATTATTTTTGACAAGTTTTTAAAAGTTTTTTTTAAAGAAAAAACTGACATATTTGTTGGAGTTATGGTCTTATTATACTATTCGAAGAAATTCTCTTTTATTTGTTTTACTCATATAACGGTTTTCCAAAGCAACAACCTGTATACAAATTCAAAAAGTGTGCAATGTGCAGTTGCTGAAGAAAAGTATGATTAAAATATAAAATACCAAAAGTGGTGACTTTCCACCTTACGATTACTATTCCAGTGGCATAAAAATATTCACACTAATCGATAACCAAAATATTATTATTCTTTGTCAAAGACCAGCTTTGGCATTACTACACAATTTTTGAGACAGATCAGCCATTACGGGATTGCAGGTAGGACGGTGATTTGCAATAATTTTATAGCCTAGACGTTTCAAGAACCTTCCAGTGACTAGTTCGCAATAGTATAAAAACCTGCCGCCGCCTCAGCTGCAGTTGTATACACAATCGAACGCCCGAACAAATACGACGCAGTAGTCCACGAGCTCCAAAAATTATTCTAATCTGTCACATAAATTCACTGCAACAAGTCAAACGAGAAATAAAACGCGTCAGCACAAACTACATAATCAATAAAATTCAACGAAACTAAAGTGAACATTGCGAAAATGCCGGAGAAATTGTTGAAAATCACCTATCAGGGTGCCGCAGTCGCTGGCCCTCAGAAGAAAATAAATGCATACTTGCGTATGCCCTCCCAGAATTACACCATACTGCGTCGCGAAATCGAGCTGTATCTTTTTCAGGAACGTCAGCTCCCCAGATGCGAATTTAGGACCTTCTGGATCGGTGAGTTTTATAAACAAAAGTGTGGGAACAAATTAATGTTCCAAGTAGACAAGTCTTAAATATTGTCCTTTCGTCTTATACATATGTAATTGCATTCGACAGAGCGGTGCAGACCTTTTGGCTATGAAATCTAGCTTGTTTGGAAAATCTTCAAACTACCAATTTCTCTATGTATAAGACTTATTATTGGCTTTCATGCTTAACAATGTTGTAAAATGTGTTCACATTTGTATACAACAGTCACAAAAGTGAAAAGTTACAATAAAAAACAAATCTTTACAAAATTCTACCCTTTTCAAAATAAAACCAATAGATAAAATATTCCTATTTTAAGGACGAAATTTTCAATAAAAAAAAACTTTAAAACATAATGATTAAAAAGTATTTTTTATATAACCATTTTCTAGTACAAAACAAATTAGATTGGTAATGCCTATAAATCCGGAACTATAGCTAAATTGTCTAGCTAGTTCTCTTCGTGATTCACCTTAAAAAATAACCTGTGATAACCTATTATGACTCATGAATGTTTTGTTTTCTTTATTCCTTCCAAATTTTCAGATACGGATCACGATGAAATCGAAATTGTGAACCAAAATGACTACGAGATTTTCATGGCGAAGTGCGAAGCCAATATGCATGTGCAGGTGGCTCCATTGGTGACCGTTGAGGAGCCGAAGGCCTCCCAGCAGCAGGATTCGTCGGCCAACGCTGGCGCTCCATCCGTGGACGATCCGAGCAATTTCACTATCCACGACTCTGTTGAGTGCGATGGCTGCGGCTTGGCCCCAATCGTTGGCTTCCGTTACAAGTGCATTCAGTGCAACAACTATGATCTTTGTCAGAAATGCGAGGCGGCCCACAAGCATCCAGAGCACATGATGGTGCGCATGCCGACCAACAATGGACCCACAACGGTGGATGCCTGGCTTACCGGCCCGAATCCATGGGGTCGCCGCTGTAGCCGTCGCTCCAGGGGTCACTGCCCGTTCCAGGAGGCGACCCAGACCGCTCCGGCTGCCGAATCCTCCAGGGATAGTCGCCGCGAGCGTCGTCACGCCCGTCGCCATGGCGGTGTCTTGTCCCAGTTTGTGGAGATGATGACCAACTTGCCGCTTAACGAGACAGCAGGCACTGCAACGTCAGAACCCCAGAAGCCCAAGGCGGCAGAACCAGCACCAAGTGCTCCCCAAGCTGAGCCCACTGCAACCGCTCAAAAGGCAGCCGAGACTGAGGCCAAGCCAACTGAGCCGAAGAAGATTAACATCGCACCAACTGTTCCTCCCACCGAGGATCCAGTAACTGCTCCACGCTCCTCGGAGCCCACTACTCCAGTAATCAATCTGGAGAACATTTCCCAGATCGTGCCACCAGAATACATGCGCGCTGGCATCGAGATCCTGAATAATTTCAGCGAATTGTTCGCCAAGATGATCGATCCCACTGAGTCGGGGGATTCGGGAATTTTTGGTCCTTCAATGACCCCTAGTACTGAGGCAAAGAAACCAGAGGAAAAGGCTCAATCCAGCGGCCAGTCGGCGGCTTCTTCGACCAGCCAGTCATCTGCTCCCTCAGCGGTTCCTTCCGCTGCTCCCTCAGCGGTTCCTTCCGCTGCTCCCTCCGAGGTTCCTTCGGCTAATCAATCGAATGCCCCATCTGCTAACCCCTCAGCAACTCCCTCAATTTCTGGATCTATTTCTGACGCTCCGCTAGAGACGGAGCCATTGATTACCAAACCAACTGAAGCTGCACCAGTTTCGGCTACCAACAACGAGGAGGAGAGACGCCGTTCGGACAGCTTGGACCAGGACTGGCAGGTTATCGACAACGCTTACTCCGCGAACAACACCAACCTGATCAATCTGGACTCGACCAATCCCACAGCTGCTCCTCAGCAGCCGGTGCGTGACTTTGGTCAGCTGGGCGAACTCCTGCGCCAGCACATAAATGAGGAGGCTCGCGTGGAGCAGGCTACGGTCAACACCCAGACCGCTCAGGTGGATACGGTCAGTACAGCAACCTCGACCTCTTCGGTGTCCACCAGTAGCGTCGGCACCTCTCCAGCAGCTCCCGAGGAAAAGCGCAGCGTTCCCGTTTACCACACTGGTAAGTTTGCAGACGAATCTTTCAGAGCTTCCTATTAATTGTTTTTCCATTTTTAGATGAACGCATTAATTCCTCGATCCATGCCATGATGGCTATGGGATTCAGCAACGAGGGCGCCTGGCTCACCCAGCTCCTGGAATCAGTCCAGGGCAATATTCCAGCCGCTCTAGACATTATGCATGTCTCGCAGAACCGCAACTAAATAAGCATATTCAAAACCCATATATCTGTTATGTATCTTCAATATTTATAGGACCCAATGAGAAAGGAAATTCATTTTATCAACTTAATTTGTAGCTTTAGGTTTTTCTGTGGTGATTGAATAATATCGTTGCCAAAAAAAAGTGAAAATATATGTATTTTATGTTTTAATAATCAACAGAATGTTATCATATGTATGTGAAATTACAATAAAGGCACAAAGTGAAAATGATTCATGTTCTTAAGACCTAATGGTTCTTTCTCACATTGCATTGATAAGGTCAATTATAGTAGACATTGACAACTAAAGCCATCACAAACTAGATAACAAAATTTTCATACTGGGCAAATCAGTTGCGAAATTCATAAGAACAAAATTCACAATGAAAATTTAAATTCATATTATTTCCGCATAAACTATTAATAATTGTTAAATCTACAATACGTTGTTGCGGAATTAAATGTTTCATAAAGTATTGGTGTTCCAGAGTAATATCACTCGATCATTGCCATAGCCTCAAAGATCTTCTCTTGCCTCTGCTGCTTCCGATCCGAATAAATAATTTGTCGTCAATCCAGCGATATCTCGTGCAAATCTCCTGAATTCGTAATTGGCAGTCGTTACTGTAGCGATAAATGTGAAAAACTTAAATAGCTTCTGATGATGCGGCTTCCATTGACGCCTGCCGAATCCTGTGTTGTAGCCGAACATTTGCGAGACCATTAGGGCTAGGAATCCAGCCAACCCAAAGAATCGATGGAGCAATTTCAAGGTGAAGCCCCCGCTGATGAAATACAGCGGAAGACCACTGAGAACGCTACCAAGCAAAAGAGCACAGCCGACAATACCTGAGGTGAAACAGATAGAGGAATAAATTATCATTATATTTCGGGAAACAAATCGACAAACCCACCATAGAAGCCGTGGTTGGTTTTGAAGTGCCGCACGGTGGCATTGGGATCTTCCCGTTTGCGCTCCATCTTCTGCCACGTCTTGATGCCGATGCCTCCGACTCCAACCAGGAAAGCCAACAGACCCAGGCCAGCATGTAGGCGGTTCAGATTAAGAGGACCCATCCAGGACTCCAAATATGTGCTGTTTCGCACCAGCAGCGCTTCGCCCATGAAGAAGACAAACTAAGGGGGAGATGGGACAAAAATATTAGATTATTAGATAAATAATATAATAATAATAATATATAAAAGGAAGATTACTTACATAAATTGTTATAAACCTTATCTTATGGCTAGAATCTGTCTAACACTTTAAAATGTATGTCTTATAATTGTTCAGGATGTATTTGAATCCTGAATGAAGCTAAGAATGATCATTTCTACGAGAGAGTGGTTGGACCAAAACAAATCTAAAACTATTTACATAAAGCTCACAATGAACAAAGATATTCAGTCAGAAAGTTATACAAGAGAGACTACTTAACATAGAAACAGACAGACGGACATCGCCTGATAGTGCTGATAGAGAATATATCAACTTTATGGTTGATTCCCTTATTGCGCGGCAAACTTCTGAATAAAATTATAAAACTGTAAGAGTAAATCAACTTCTGTGAGAAACTATGACCTCAAACATTCCATTTTTCATATGGTTCTTATGAATATAAAAATTTCTGCAAAAATATCTGAATTCAGATATAAATTAGAGTACTCACGGCGATTGTGCAGTAGAAGGCATGTCCGGCGGTGTGTACCAACTTGAGCACCAGACACTTGTAAACAATGGCTGCGGTGATCCCCGCCAGAAGAACGTGCGAGATCAGAGTGCAGAAACCAAAGTAGAACCCTCCATAGGAGCCTTGTAATTCGGCACTTGTCATTATGTTGTGAATTTTATGAAGATATTCCTTATCTGCTACGTGAGATGTGCACGTAAAACCGATAAGCGTGTTGGCACTCAAAATATGATCGCGACCGCTCGATGCGAGTGTTAGAACGCTTTTGACGACCTGACGCCATGGAACAGCTGGAAAAAAGCCACCTAAAGCTCGCTATTCTCTCTCCCCGGAAAATACCGCCAGCGAAATCCGAAAAAATCACAAAATCGTACTTTGAAAGGCAGTGGAGCGCGGCGTTGGCAAAAGTTGACTCAGCGGATTGCCCCGTTCACGTGTTTTTACCTTGGGGCGGGAAAGGCGGCAGCAGCCACAGGTGGTATTGATTGGCATTGCTCTCCGGCGATTATTGTTATTTTTGGAGCATTCTAAAACCAGTTTGTTTAATTGGCCCTGCCATGTGTCCGGAATTAATCATACTCTCCACCATGAGTGATTCCCAAAAAAAGAGTCATGGTAGTTGAAATGTCTTAAACAAAGGAAAGGAAAGGACACTTATTTTAATTATATTAAAATAAGAAAAGTTTTTAAATCTGTCAAATTAATTCAGTGAAAAATAGAAAACTTTATAAATGATTACAGAACCCTTATGATTTCCTTCTATAAATATACATAGTTGTTTTAACATGATATTTCATTTTTTCCGAATGAGGATTGTTGTATTACTGCGTTTGTTAAGGTCCATCCAAAAATGTTAGCTATGATGATCGATGTTGTGAAATTAACAACAAAACCAAATGTCCGATGAATAAACTGCTAAAAGCGTAGGAAAGAGAAATAGATAGGGAGCGAGAAATGTGTGTACGGGGAAATCCAATAACAACACTGTTCTACAAAGATTTTGTACCATTTGAATGTATAATGTTTTTGTATTCCAATAAATTCAACAATCTCGTGATTATTAAGATCAATAGGTTGACAAGCTAAAAAAAATGGCATCCGGGTCGTATGAGTAATTTTTTGGAAAATTTTGAGATCGATCACAAACAACATTCAAGATAAGAATATAGTAAAGTTTAAGTTATGGAAGTTTTACTCTATATAATCAAGTGTCTTTATAGAAAATAGTACAAGTAGATACAATTCTGAGGAACTTGTGATTGATTAGGTATTATTATATTTATAACAGTGATTACCCGTAATTCTGATAGTGGTTGGACTTAATCGCAATACATGTATGTACATACGACCACTTGAAAGAAAGTGACTTCAGTTCCAAGAATTCTGGCCATAGACATATATAAATATTTTATTTGATTTTTTCATTTCAAAATATTTGAACTGGCACCCGAGACGTATGAGTAATTTTTAAATTTAAAATTCAATATTGTGTTTTTATGCAGACGAATATGTTTACTTTGAAGCCTGTTATTTGTAAAAATCTTTTGAAAATAGTTAACGATTTATAAATGCTTCAAATATTTTTTTACACACTTAGTAAAGCTTTGTTATGTGTAACAATATTGTTCTAATAAATGTAAATGGAACAAGAAAACTGTAAAACGTTTTGGACTTGTGTGTGTCCTCCTTGTTAAGAAATGCATGGCATAATTTAGCAAATAAAGATACATAATAATTTTGTTGTATTATTTCACAATGAAAAACTTATCTTCCAAGATCTTTCCCCTGTTCAGATTATAGGGTATTAATGGGGAACGCACCGCCCAAGAGAGAGCAAAAGGGGAATCACCAAGCCAAACTGGATTTAGCTTAGCGAATCTCTTTTATATACGCCAGTATCTCTCTAGCATTAGTCATTTCGACGTTATGTACCCATTTAATTTTCAGTTCCCTGTGAAATACTGGCAAGTGACGTCATTCTTGGGCAAGTCGAGAGAGCCACATATAGCGTAATGTGCCACAGCAACAACAGCTGACTCAGATAAAGAGCCAGAGAGTTTTGATATATATAACGACCAGCCAGTCGGGCGATGTATTCCGATGGAAACGCCAGTTCTGTTGGCACTGCTAATCAACAAGTCCACGAAAATATAACCCAACCCCTTATTGACACCCAAAAAAAAACGTAAACAATATATTCAATAACATATATTGGGATTTTACGCGAGAACACTTTCTGTGCTTCTACAAAAAATAATTTGGGTTTTTCAGATTACCTCAGCTCATGTACGTAAATCATTAAAATATTCAAAAAATCAAAATAAATTAAATTAAATAAATTATTGTGACAAGCACGAAGCGACAGTTATTAGTGACTATTAAAGTGTTAAATATTGAAAAAAAAAACCAGAGATAATATATACAAAAGCCGTTATATTTTACAATTGCATGACCATAGTTCTGTGACAAATGCCTGAAATGCCATTCATTCTAAATCAGATAAGTCAGGGGCAGTACCTATTTTCTGTTGTTCTATATAAGCATTTCATTTTTCACTGTATATCTCCATTTCTAGATATGATGAAATAATTAATTACTCTATCCTTGTCAAATTATATTTATTAATTGTGTTTATAAAAATTACTTTGCACTTGATTACTTTAAAAATTATATAAATTCAGTTCAGAATTTCTTCTTTAGCCCCAAACTCTTTAAAATATTACAATTAAAACTTGTCAAACATTCTTAAGCTATTTCCTTGTTTGGCTTACACAGGTAATCAATTATTTATACTTCCTTTTTTATTCTTTGTTCCTATAACACAGTGTACTGATAATTAATAATTTCAAGACAAGTCATTTGCCACTTTTAGAAAAAAAAATGTAATAGAAAAACAAATATTTTTGTGTGCCATGTCATCAATAATCTATAATCCAATATAAATGATATATTTTGGGAGTGCTGGCCGAACTGAATACATACCAATATTGATATTCAAGTAGCGATTGCCGGCTTTTTTTGTGGTCTGTGTTATTGTTTTGGTTTTGTTTGCCCAACTCGTCATCGATTTCAGTGCTCACATAAGCGAGTAAATAGCCCCACTCACTCCCAGTATTATTTACTTATTATTTTTTATCAGTTTTTTTACGACTCGAACGACTCAGTCGAACTCGGCTTCGTCTGGCCGGCTTTGGATTGTGGAGTCTCGATGCTATAACAAATCCGTGGGGCATCAAGCCGAACCAGTCCCAGCTCGACTCTGAGCCCCATCGGTTGTAGCCGCGCTTGCCATAATTTCCGCAACCATCGCAACCAGAGAACTAATTTTATTTTATTTCATTTGTACTTTTCCCGTCCTGCCCTCCTTTGACCACCAACGCAAACAAAATGCGTCGCGCAGACGCTTTTGCTGTCACGGTTTGTGCGATTTTGGCCCTGCTGCAGACGATGGAACCGGTAAAGGCCGAGGGGTAAGTCAATTCCCAATATACTATGTTATCTGATTGGCCGAAACACACACCCAAGTCCAGAATATTAGTAATTTAAGGTTTGAGGAAGGCAAAATCCTAAGTCTAATCCAAGCAAGATAGGTCTAGTTCTCACAAAAACACATTATTTATAGTATTAATAGGGTGTGGAAAAATTAAAAGTATAGCTATTGATCAAAATAATATTGGTATTCGGTTGAGTTCTTAATGAAGTTAGGAAAAAGGCATCGATTAAGATAATATTGGTTGAAATTAAACTTATTTAAAAATAAGAATTATTTAAATTTGGTTATTATAACTCTCACCACATAATTACTTAAAATATTTTATAGCAATTACTACTATTATTTTACCAGCAACTGTATTGATGTTGGTGTCTGTTTAATTAATTAAGTATGCATATAAGCTGATAGGGTCGTTTTGAAATGAGCTTCAAGGTAATTATATTGTGTTTTGAATTTATTCCCTTTTTTATACGTTTACTCATTTATTAGTATACTTGTTTGTTCCATCTTGATTGCCTTTGGGGTAATAGAGGAAAGTTTTCTAATCTTTGTAGCCCATTAATTTTATTATAAATAAAACCAAATAACTATTTATTTGTTAGAAACCAAAAAAAATTATTAATTTTCGTTTTGCTAGGTCCAAAAGGTAGCTAAGTGTTTTAATGAATTGTATGGAAATCAATTACGTGTTCTTTATCACATCTCTAAATGGAATTTCTTGTTCACTTCAACTTGTGGTGCTAATTGAATATCACAATAAGCCTTTATACATAAGAATTATTATATTTTATAATTAAACAAGTGAACACGTCACATATTTTGTTTGGCTTAATGGTTCTGTTGATGAATACATCATTAATTTATGACACGATCGCGTATCTGTTCTTTTTACAATGTTAATTATCAGTAATTATAATCGAATGTAGAGGTGGAATATTGAAGGCAATTAAGAATTTCAAAAAGTTAGAATAATCCCAGTGAAGGTGTGTAATAATTTTACTGTGCGAAATGTAGGAAACAAAGTAAGCTATACAAAAAATAAGTGATGATCAAAGTTAACAACATTGGTGTACGTGATCGAGGACTGTAAGTGCGAGAAAAATGGCTGATCGTAATAAACTTGGATTATATCAACTCTGAGCCGGTTTCAAATTTTTTTTTGAAGCAGATCAGGTTCCTGAAATCTTTACCGTTATCTCCAGGGCTATTATGAATGCATGTATAAATACATATGTATAGAAATTTATGTATTTATGTACATATTGTCACAGAACAAAAAAAAAACCAAAACACATTAGCCTAAAAAGCATTTTTGAGTGCCGAGAACATTGATAAAGATGAGGTTAAAGGCGATTGCACAACCAATCTTAAGAGTTCCATGTCGTTTCAATTCGCTTAGAGATTAAACCTAATTAACATGATTTATTAATATTCAAGTTTGAGTTTGTCAATAACAGTTTCAATTTTGATAATTACGGAATAGAGATCAAGAATAGAAATATTTTGAAACCAAAAACAATCTTATAAGTGCCATGTCCTATCAATTGGCCTTGACATCAAACCTAAATAACACGATCTATTAATATTAAGTTTAACTATAAAGTGAATGTTATATTTTGATAATTACAAAATTGAGATCAAGAATAGAAATATTTTAAAGTGGAAATTTCAATGTACTATAGTAATAAAATATTAATTATTCGATCTTAACCTAATATGTAAGAGACTTAGAAGAAAAAGAATGTATTTAAGATAATTTCTATAATGTAAAATTTTCTGTGGTGCTAACATTGTTTGACTAATTCGATTCCAGTAAATACACCATTGTGGGTCCCGGAACCATCCACTCTCATCGCGAATACAATGTGGCCGTGGCTGTGCACCAGACCAAGGAGCCGGTCACCCTGAAGGTGGGCATCACCGGACCCTCCTACAACGAGACCCAGACCGTGGAGCTGGCCAAGTCCGATGAGTTCAAGCAGATCACCTTCAAACTGCCTCCCCTGGAGTCGGGTGACTATAATCTCACGGCCGAGGGCATCAAGGGGCTGGAGTTCAAGAACTCCACCAAGCTGAACTATGAGAACTTCAAGCCGTACATCAAAATCCAGACCGACAAGGGCAAGTACAAGCCCGGCGATACGATCAACTACCGTGTGCTCTTCCTCAACGAGAACCTGTTGCCGGATACGGCCGAGGATGAGGTGGTGGTGTGGTTCGAGGACTCCAAGCGGAATCGCATCAAGCAGGAGAAGCACATCAAGACCACTGGTGGCGTGTACACTGGAAAATTCGAGCTCTCCGAATTCGCCACCTTGGGCTCCTGGTCCCTGCAGGTCCAGAATGGTGGGCAGCAGTCAAATACGGAGGGCGGTATGTTCGGACGTCATTACAGACCTTATCCCTTCTGGCGTCGGTCGGATGAACGGGTCAACTTCGAGGTGGAGAAGTACGTGCTGCCCAAGTACTCGGTCAAAATGGAGGCCACCAAGCAGGTTTCAGTGCGAGATGGCGAACTAAACGTTGTGCTGAAGGCCAAGTAAGTATACCCCTTAATCAGCATTTTCCTAATGATCGTAATATTCAAAAAATCCCCTTAGCTACACTTACGGCAAGCCCGTGAACGGCAAGGTTCTGGTCAATGTCCACTTGGATGAGACGAGCGTGTGGGAGAATGTCGATGGCAAGACCGTGCGCAACGACTTCCCCGGCCACTCCGTGATTGGCACCGCCGACATGGTCGGTGGCAAGGCCAAGCTGACCTTGGATCTCAAGGAGTTCGCCAGCTATCTGCCGCACAAGACCTCCTCTTCCTATGCCACGATCACGGCCACCGTCGAGGAGGATTTCACCGGCGTGAAGCTGAACGAGACGGCTGGTGTCCAACTGTATCCCTATCGCTACGAGATGTCCTGCACGGACTACTCCACATGCTTCTCCTTCAAGCCCGACAAGGAGCACGAAATAGACTTCAAAATAACATTCGTCGATGGTTCACTGGTCACGGACACCAAATCCGTGGTGAAGGTGGGTACACGATCTTGGAAGTCCTGGATATGCTAACTAACATATATATATTCCAAACAAAGGCCAAGTTCACTGAGGGAATCCGACGCAATTACGGTTTCTATGGCTATGGACAGGTACATGAGGAGCAACCACTGCCCAAGATTGAGAAGAAGACTATCGTGTTCGAGAGCCATTTGAATGAGTCCAGCGTGGCGCCTTTCAAGGTGACTCTACCCGATCTGCCGGACATGGCCAACTTCACCCGCTTCTATAGCATTGAGCTGGAGTTTGTCGACGAGAAGCGCGAACTCTACACCACCTATCCCTATAGGGAGCCAAAGAAGATTGAAAATCCCGATCCTGAGGAGGAGGAAAAGGAGTGGTTCAGGGCCGAAGTGCACAGGCCCAAGGACACCTGGAGGTTAGTAAGAGCAATCAATGGGCATAACAAAAAAAAATAAAATATTTAAATAAATGAATACCGTGAAATCCTCCACTACTAAGACCAATGAATATAACTCAACATTTATTACAGCCTCAAGATCGGCCAGGAGTATCAGGTGACCCTCAACTCCAGCCGTCCGCTCAAATACTTTGTGTACAACATCGTGGGACGTGGAAACATTCTGGAAACGAAGCGAGTCGAGCTGGAAGAGCCCAAGAAAACCGTCAATGTCACCATTAAGCCCACCTTCCTTACTTCTCCCAATGGCCGTGTGTACTTCTACTACGTGGATGAGACTGGCGAGTTCCGATATGCCGAGGAAACCTTTAGCGTGGAGGTGGAGCTGCAGAACAAGATCGAGATCAAGGCCCCCGAGGAGGTGAAGCCTGGTGCCGATGTCGAGCTGGAGATCAAGACGCCGCCAAAGTCCTTCGTTGGCCTGCTGGCCGTCGATCAGAGTGTGCTCCTGCTGGGCAACAACAACGACTTGAACAAGGACTCGTTCAACTGGCGTCTGAATGGCTATGAAACCTCCACTCCCTGGCAGGGTGGCTACTCCTACTTCCCCGGAGAACGTTCCGGAGTCGTCACGATGACCAATGCCTATTTCTTCTACAATCGCACTGCTCCAATCTCCCATTTACGTAAGTGAATTACAACTTTTTAATATAATAATATGATTCAAAATATGATTGTAAAAATGTATTACATATTTTTAAGCCAAAGTCAACTTCCATATCAACTGTAGAACTTAAAAAAAGTTTAAATTTAGGGTAGTTATAAAAAAAGCATTTATTTATTGTCCATCGTAAACCGATCCCTTTCGTGCTAGGATGTACTTTTTTTCTATTAAATGGTTTTTTTTTTAAATGGTCTATAAGGTATCACATTTTTCATTCTTATAAAATTAGGCAAGTAATACTACACGAATTGGTTAAGTCCCATTTCGTTTATATTATTTTAAGTCTTTAATTTTCAGTTTTTGAAGTATCCGAGTAGATACAAATTTTAATGAATATCAATTATCAAATCTTCTTTACAAAAAATTATATTGAATAAATTTTGTTATTTCTTCTTAATGGCGCTTAGATTACATTGTCTCGAAAAGACTTACTCAAATATACCTCTTTAAAACCATTTCAGAAGCCTTCGGATCTGCTGGAGTTGCTGGAGTTGGTGGAGGAAACTTCGCCATGAGGAAAACGGCAGTGGCACACGATTCCGCGGCATTCCACACAACCACCGCAATGATGGGAGCTGCTCCACAAGCCGTGGGATTCGCTGCCGAAGGAGCATCTGCAGCAGCCCCTGTAGTGCGAAAGAACTTTGCGGAGACCTGGATTTTCGCCGACATTGAGAGCACGGAGGAGGAGGTCTTCAAGTGGGTGAAGACCATACCCGATACGATTACCAACTGGGTGGTCACCGGCTTCTCGCTGCATCCGGTCAAGGGATTGGGTGTCACGGACGAGAAGGTGAACGTCAAGACTTTCCAGCCGTTCTTCGTCTCCGTCCGACTGCCCTTCTCGGTGAAACGCGGAGAGGTGATCAATGTGCCGGCCCTGGTCTTTAACTATCTGCCCAAGCAACTGGACGTGGAACTGACCCTGGACAACGAGGATGCCGAGTACGACTTTGTGGATGCCTCCAACGAGGTTATTGGTGACCAAAAGCGTTCGCAGAAGATCCGAGTGGGTGCCAACGAAGCTGCGGGCGCCTCTTTCCTAATCCGACCAAAGGTCATTGGCAATATTCTACTCAAATTCACGGCCATCTCACCGCTGGCCGGCGATGCTGTGCACAAGGCACTGAAGGTAATTCCAGAGGGTACCACTCAGTACCAGAACCGGGCATTCTTCATCAATCTCAAGGATACGGGCGAGTTCAAGAACACCTTCCAGCTGGAGGTGCCGGAGGAGGTGGTTCCCGATTCGGAGCGCGTGGAATTCGGACTGGTGGGTGATCTCCTGGGACCAGTGGTCAAGAACCTGGAGAATCTCCTGCGATTGCCCAGCGGTTGCGGGGAGCAGACCATGTCCAAGCTGGTGCCCAACTATCTGGTCCGGGATTACCTGAAGAGCATCAAGAAGTTGACTCCAGCCCTGGACACTCGCATCAAGCGGAATCTGCAGGAGGGCTATCAGAATATGTTGCACTATCGCCACGACGACGGCAGCTTCAGTTCCTTTGGACCCTACAAGTGGAGGGAGGAGGACCCGGAGCGCAATGGCTCCACCTGGCTGACCGCCTATGTCCTGCGTTCGTTCAGCAAGATCAAGGACATCGTTGATCTGGATGAGCAGCTCTTGGCCAAGGGCTATGAATTCCTGCTGACTCGCCAGGCGGAAAATGGCAGCTTTACGGAAACCGGTGAATACTTCTACGGCTCGCAGCGATCCCTGCTCACCCTCACCGCCAGCTCCCTGTTGGCTCTGCTGGAGGAGGAGAAGCCCAAGCAGGAGGCCATCGACAAGGCAGTGTCCTACCTGAGCGCCAACACGGAGGAATCCCTGGAGCTGTTGCCCAAATCCATCGCCATCTATGCCCTGCAAAAGGCCAAGGCGCCAGGAGCTGCCAAACAGGTGGCCGCCCTTAAATCCCTGGCCAAGCAGGAGGAGGATCGCACCTGGTGGACCGAGGATCTGGACAAGCTGCGTACCTCCGGGAACTGCAGACGCTGGTGGTGTTGGGTGTGGAGTCAGGATGTGGAGATCACCTCCTATGCCCTGCTTTCACTTCTGGAGTCGGAAGACGAGACGGCCGACACTGTGCTGAACACGGTGCGCTGGCTGGTGGCCCAGCGGAATAGCTTCGGAGGATTCGCCTCCAGCCAGGACACAGTGGTCGGGCTCACCGCCCTGATCAAGTTCGCCGAGAAGTCTGGCTACGAGGCAGCCAAGTGGGAGGTGACCGTCTCCAACAAGGGCAAGCGTGAGAAGACCGAGAAGCTGACCACATCGGAGGAGAACGATCTGCTGCTCCAGACGGTCGAGTTCCCGCAGGGCACCAAGTCTCTGGAGTTCGAGGCCAAGGGCACTGGCGCGGCTCTCGTCCAGATCAGCTACCAGTACAATGTGGTGGAGAAGGTGCCGAAACAGAGTTTCAAGGTCCAGACCACCGTCTTGCCTGAGACTTCGCCAGCGAAACTGGAATTGGGCGTTTGCGTGGACTTCGTGGAGGAGGGCGAGGCCAAGGAATCCAACATGGCCATTCTGGAGGTGGCCCTGCCCTCCGGCTACACCGCCGATGAGGATAGCTTCAAGAACATCCGAGATATTGCTCGAGTGCGGGTGAGTTAGAGGCCTCTTAGCTATTAGTTTTACAAAAATAACACTCACTTTTTTTACCCTTTTGTAGTTGGTGGAGACCAAGAACGGTGACTCAGTGGTGGTTGTCTACTTCGAGAATCTGGCCAAGAACGAAAACAAATGCATTCCCATCGAGGCCTACAGGACCCATGCCGTGGCCAACCAGAAGCCATCCTCTGTGATCCTCTACGATTACTATGACACGAACAAGAAGGCCACCGAGTACTACTCCATCGACTCGAAGCTCTGCGACATTTGCGAAGGTGACGAGTGCAAGAGCAAGTGCTAAACTAATCAAACCAAAACGAACTACAATACCTTCTGTCCTAACATCAAATAAAATATTGTGATTATAATGTATACATTTATTGCATTGCTGTTTTTTTAAAAGGGACCTATATTATTGGGACCCTTCTGAAAGTCTGTCTTCGTAGTATTCCCTGGAAGAAATCAAAACCATATTCAAATTCAAGAGAAACAAGAGTGGAAACGGTGAATTGATACGCTGGCTATGAGAACTGCCGCAAGTTGGGATCCGAATTGGTGACCCTCGAAACCAACGAAGAATTTGATGCTGTTGCTCAGTATTTAAAAAGCAATGGATACAGCTCGCATTACTGGACATCTGGCAATGACCTGGCAAATACCGGCAAACACTATTGGTTCACCAATGCTCAGCCCTTAATTTCAGATCGGTGGGGTCTTAATGAACCCGACAACGCTGGTGGAATAGAGCACTGCATCAACCTGGAATACTCACTAGGGCAACATTACGTTTTGAACGATCGTCCATGCTCCAATCATATAAACGCTATGCTAAGTTATATATGCAAGGCTCCCAAGTTGGAAACCATATCCATTCTGGTGTGGAATTAAGCTCATGATGGTTCACTTTCAGGTAATAAATAACGTCACTGTAATTTGCCTACTAAAAACCAAGATGGCAATGTACTTTTCTGTTTTTATCTCAAAATAATAAAACATCCCACAAAAAAATAAACACCTTGATTTTTAAAACAACTATAGTAAGTATATTATTTAATGTGTAGTATACTTTAAGGGAAAACTTTAAAAATCAAGTATCTTAAACAAGCTGTCTTTTCGGCATTGACTTTCAAATACGCTCGAGCTCTAAAAATCGCGCATTGGATTAATGGACAAAAAATCGACCCAAAAATACAAGACAAGACATTTAAAGACAGATTTTAAGAGAGTCAAACCACAATCATTTATAAGTATCCCACTTAAAAATCGCATGTCTGTAAGTAAAGTTATGGTCTTAGAAGTGCAGGTTTTAGGGAACTTTTCTGCATAGCCATTTTTCGAAAATCTGGAAAGTTATGGTCTTTACCCAGGTAACCAGGTTACCGGATTTCGAAAGGAAAACTGACACATCATTCGAGAAGGAACCAAATTCAAATTGTAATAGTCAAATCCAGGACGTTGTCATCTAAAATGGAGCTAAGAGTGTGCATGAACTTCCTGGAGAAGGACAAGGCCAAGAAATCCAATCTCCATTTACGCGATCCATTCAACAATCTGGCTTATTTAACAAAATAAAAAAAAGTATTTATTGTTTTTTTTATAAGTACTTCTAAATCCTTGCACCATTTACTTAATTAATGCACCAATATTTATCGCAGTTGGTGGAGCGCAAGAATAAAGAATCAGTGTTGGCCGTCTACTTTGAAAGTCTGAAAAGGAATGAAAGCAAATGCATTCCCGTCGAGGCATACAAGCCATTTATGGTGACCAATCTGAAACAGTCCGTTTTTATCTACGATTATAATGACAGGATGGTAACCGAATAATACAAATTGGAATCGAAGCTCATTGACTTGAAGTCCCAGTAACTAGTGCTAAGCCTCGTAAATCATTTTCGGCACTGTTGATCTAATCGCCCACCTTTTTATAGCACTCCTTCAAGTTAAATCCAATATACTTTAATCACGCTCAATGTCAGATCGCAGATAAGAAACTGCCGAGTCACCAGTTAATATTTGTAAACATTGTGCTAGTTTATGTCATTAAAACTTAGGGGTTTATCTTTAATTTAAAATGATTAGCTGAATTCAAACAATTTTTGTCATTTCAAACACTTGGCACGATGACACAAAATAATATGTGGCATTTTGAGGTGTGAGTATGTCTGGTGCGGTAACCCTTATCTGCTACGTGCGATTTTGCATACCGATAAGGCGGTGGTGACTTGCGATTCAACGGAACTACATGTGTATTATATATGTTTCGGTAAGTGGCTCGAAGTGGAGGAGTACTCGAGCTACAAGAATCTAATTAATATTAATAACCCCTCTAAATTTAGCCCCCGGCTCATGTCGGTTTCGGGGAATAGGCAACGTGAGCGCGAGCGCATATACAAGCGCTACCAAATGGTAATCCTTCCTACTTCTGCTTCAAAAGCCTCAACATCAATGACTGAATGAATGGGTGGATGGCGATAAGAATGATTAGATCGTTTGGCCAACGATAATGCGAACGTGAACTTGCAACGGCCCACTCAATAACATTGTATAATCCTTTAAATTAACTGCATTAAATGGGGTACCCAATGTTGCTGATAAACCGACAACAAACAAATAGGCTGCCAGTCTAGTGAAAGGCACAAAGCCATTCTGAAGGCAATAAAAACCTCAGTAGTTCGTTGTAATAGCTTATGCACAACGGTTCGATATTTAACAGGCAGTTGTTATATGAAAATAACACCCTCTTGCAGGATTTTTAACATTAAAAACGTAACGCATCCTTATGAAAATCAAAGGATTTTTAGAAATAAAGGAGTAGTTAGTTAGATTTAAATTACATTTTTGGTGAAATAAAAATAATAGAGGTGTAGTTGGTTGAATAACAATTACATTTTTGGTGAAATAAAAATAACACAGGTGTAGTTGGTTTAATTACAATTACATTTTTGGTGAAATAAAAAAGAAAACAGTGCGACAATGAGTGACGAAAAATCCAAACCGACGTCGGTCCTTCAGCACATTGAATCGACGCTGTATGTGATCAACCAGCTGTGCATAGGATTCGTGACCATTTGGGTTAGCTGGACCTGTTTGCGCAAGGACCTCTCGGGAATTCGGCTGCACGCCTGGCTGGTGACCTTTGGATTTGTTTTCCTAATGGCCGAGGGCATGATGTGCTTCTACGATGGCAGTTGGCTAACACTTCGCTATTCCCGGAAATACAAGACTGCCTTTCACGTGGTCCTTCAGATCCTAGGCGGCGGCATGGGCGTGGCTGGATGTTTGATACAATTAATACGTGACGACTGGTCAGTTAGTGTTACAATCCATGCCCGCTTGGGTTTTGCCGCCTTCGTCCTGTGCCTCATCTCGTTGCTCAGCGGTGTGGCCGCCTTTCTGGCCAGATCCTTCAGTCGGGCTATCCCGCCGCTGATCAACAAGACCTTCCATGTGGTCCTCAGTTTTGCTGCATTCGTGATCGCCATGATGGCTCAGTTCTATGGATATACACAAACAGGAATTTTCCGAGGCCAAGGGCAGGACTTCGTTATCCTGATGCAGGTCGTCACTATGGTCCTGATGGTCCTCACCAGCATTGGCGCCATGAAATCTCTCTACCAGAAATTTGGCAGCTTGGCCAGTTAGAACATACTCATAATTTAGTTAAGATGAAAAATTTATTTATCTATTGTTTAAAGTAATTTTATTTCATAAAAAACTTACACCAAAGATTTGTTTCATATTTTAAGCTAAGAGAACATCAAATAAATCGACTGACAAAATATTACAATTAAAAAAAATTTTATTACCTTAAGAAATTCTTTTAATAAATGCTAAGAAATTTTATCTATCTGAAATTCGTGTTTTAATTTGAAATCGAACAAATAAGTAAGCTTAAGATAAATTAAAAGTCCCAAATAGTAATATAATTATTCGTTAAAATATATTAAACATATTTCCTACTAAATACCTTTAAAGACATCTTTAAACTAAAAAAAATCTAGGCCTGAAGAATATATATAATGGGCTAATAGAATGTTTAAACCTTACAAAAACCAGTTAAAAACTCTTAACAAATGAAACTGGTGAACACAAACTGGCAAACTTCCTGTTTTTCAATGTTAATTTGCTAATTTCAATTAGTTTATTAAGAAGAAATTAACTATTTATTGTAATCACTATAATAATTTATAAATTCGTAAACTTTCTAGACTTATTAAAGCAAATAAATTAATAAATAAAATTTGAAAATTATCACAAGCAAGTCTTGTAATGATGTACATATAGCTATAAAAGTTAGCGCATCATAATCTTGTTCAAATGTATAGCTATAATAACAGTAAGGGCATCATAATTTTATAAATAAACAACTTATTTAACCTTTAAATATGGGAGGGTTGAGTTTTTGTTTTTCTCAAACGCTCAATTCACAAAACCTGTATAAATTTAACGGTTACTTTCTTATTTTTTTTATAAAAGTACAAAATTTTATATTTATTGCAAAACTTAACAGGTATACTGCTACCTATGTGGCGGCTTGAGCAGGTTGTAAGTATAGGGGATAACAAATTATACGAGATATATATTTAATTTCGATTTTAATACCTTTATGCTTTTAAATACATATGTGTCTTGATGGGAGGTCATGTGGGTGGCATCTTTTTAATCTTCTTTTTTCTCGGGGTCCATAACAGCCTTTTCGCCAATGAGTTAGGGTTCTCACCCAGACGAGTGAAATAATTTTCCGAGTGTGTTCGGCATACATCGCCTATCTTTGGCATTTTTAGATCTCTTTCTAAACGGTTACATTCAAAGTAAAAGATAAATATAATATAGCCCCGCAACTTATGCAACGCAAAGGGAGTAATTGGAAAGAAAAGTATAGCATTCCTTCTTTGTTTTTTGTGAATGTGGACCTTAGACAAACACAACTTATTGTTTCAATTATTATAATTGTGGAAATCAGCAGAGATTGGAAAACAACCATATTCAAGCCAAACCCGTTAATATTTATTTACGTTAGAAAAACACCCTACATATGTAGCTACACGGATTTTGAAAGCCCTACTATTCCAGTGAATTCTATTATATTTTTATATTATTATTTCCTGTCCTGATTAATTATAATTGTTTACCAACAAAATAAGTTGTGTAGCTTGTTTTTTTATATTAAATTTACAATAGCTATACTGTCAGCACTGTTGCATTGATAAAGCTTGCAAATGTAGTGTTGATAAGTGCAAATTAATCAGTTAACAATCTATCGCATCCAACAATTGCGCGCTATCGTAAATTTAAAAAACAGGCACGCGATTGAAGGTCTATTTGCGGTTTGGTAAGCACTTTAATAGCTTCCCGTGGCGTAAACCGATATCAATAGGAATAAAAAGAACAATCTTTCTGTGGTCTAGACGGGTGATCGTGTAAATGACGCTGCAAGAAAGGCTTCGGCAGTCGCTTCATAAACATTCGAGCCGATGGTCTGACTAACAAAGTTCAATGGGCGTATCGGTCGCACTTGAAACATTTTAAATTGCTATCATAGTTTAGGCACCCGCTTGGTTTTGCCCAATATTACGTCAATAAAAAATTTGTGCTAATTTGTCAGTGAACATTGGCAGGAGTATTATCAGGCGACAATTGTATGAATGTTAACACGAAAATAACATTATTTTAACGTACTGATAAAAGCCGGCGGGTGAAAAACGGAAACTACAATGTCCGAGAGTCAGCAGCCAGTGGTTAGTAGAACCCAGTCAACCGTCGACTACGGCAGCACGATCCGGACGGAATCACAGCGCCGTCCCACATTTATTCCGATCGAATCCCCGCGACGTTATTCAAAAATGAGCCACAATTCGCTGTCCGGCCATGAGGCCCAGAATCGCCTCCAGAGAGTGGAGTACTTCCTGAATGTTTTGAATCAGATGTGCATTGGATTTATCACCATCTATATATCATATCTGACCCTGCGCACTGGATTATCCGGCACTGGACTGCACGCCTGGCTGGTCACCATAGGGGTAAATATATATACGATTATCGCCTAGTAATCGGAGACTAAACAGGATCTTGTTTATCACAGTTCTCGTTCTTCATGGCCGAGGGCGTTATGGTCCACTACGGTGGAAATGTCTTGACCAACGGATATAAACGCCAAACGAAGACCACGATACATTGGGTACTCCTCACACTGGGGGGCGGATGTGGGGCAGCTGGAGCCCTTATCAAAATGATTCAGAAGGGGTTTTTGCTCCAGTCAACACATGGGAAGCTGGGTAAGTAAACACAGACAAATTGTGCATATTATTGGGCAGCACGCAAATGTATAAATACTTGTGGAAAACTACATTTTAAAAGTTTTTAAGGCCTTATTTTAAAAGCAATAAATACTTAACTTTTACAAACGGTTTTATTTTAAAATTAAACCTCACTCGGACGAAACAAAAATAAGGCAATTATCACCCAAACAAAACAAAAGAAAATCATAATAGTATTTACTATCACATATATCTATAATTAACTTGATTTATATAGCAATAACTCCTTGTGTTTAGGGCATTTATTTTAAAAATACGCCTGAGCCGTTAAATCTGCTAAAAATATTCCGTCTCAGTTTTAGTAACTTTTTTGTTAAAAAAGCTGGATATGCTTTCATCGTTTTTGTAACAAAAAAAAAATGAGCAGGGAGTGATTTATTTATAATATGTTACCAATTATGATTTTTTTCCTGCGCTGTTTGATATTTTAAACTGTCATACAGCTACTTTTTTATTGTGTGTGATTCGAAGTCCAACATGTGGCTATAATCACAATCAATTGCCTTGATAATATTTACATTATTTAAACTCTTATCGGTCTCTAAGTAATCTATGTGTTAATCGCCCGCAGGGATGACCGCCTTTATACTGTGCATTCTGGCCATGTCCTCCGGCGTGGCTGCACTTTTCTCCGCCCGCGTGAAGAAGCTGATTACACCATTGCTGAACAAGACGTTCCACAATTTCCTCGGATTTGCTTGCTTTGTGATCGCACTGGTGACCCAGTATTACGGCTACCAGACGGGATACTTTAAGAGCCGCAGTGAGACAGACTTTCAGATCCTGATGAAGTGCCTCACCCTCATATCTCTGGTTCTTTCGAGCTACGGACCGATGAAGGCGCTCTATCAAAAGTTTAAAAATATATCAAATCAGTTTTAAGTAGAAGAAATAGACTTAGCCTTATGAATGTAAATAGAAAATTAAATTAAAATTAAATTTCGTCAATATCTTAAATTTCTTTGGTTTCATTCTTTTCTGACCTTTCTAACAATTCGTGGCTAATCTTATCGTTCATTCATTTTTGAGTACATTTAATTTATGGACCCCATAAACTTGGGTAAATACTTCGTCAATGCATCATTAGTGACTGGGAAATCCCGGTGTTGTAACACACTCATTGTCACCGTCTGAAAATCCCCCTTCAAAAAAAAAGATTACCGCCTTTTGATTGACAGGTGATAAGAACTGCTCGTGTTATAAACCGGCTATCAACTATACTTCATTGTTTAGCTTCAAGATGCTATCAGCTTAAGTAGTCTATTACTTAATAAGTGGCAAATTTAAAATTTATAATTGGTCGCTTTAAAACAAATTTAATTTAAGTCGATCAGACAATTTAACAATTTTTCCAACGGGACATGCTCAAACTAAATTTTAAAGATCGCCTCAAATGATTATTTTATTTATTATGTTTCGACAAACATTTATTTCCCACCTGAAAATTGGAAACCATGCAAGCTATTTATCTGATCAATTTCTGGCACATGGAGACCGTATAGTTGATAGTAGTAGTACGTATCCTAAATAAGTTTATACACTATTGGAACCTTTTGAAAAGAAAATATATATTTCCGGTATTATAAATAAAAAACTATTAGATTTGCATGGTGCATTTCTGTATGTTTATTTAAAAAATTCATATCATTTTTTTTAAATCTCTCGCAATAAATAATACTTGGCGCGTGTTTCGCGTTGTGTGTGTGATACGCATATCAGTTAGCAATAATAATAAATAGCTAGCATAAGGTATAAAAATTCATAGTCGACTTTCGGTAATACAAGGCTGGCTGGCTTTAACCATTTTTCTGGGTGCAAACTTTCGGTAAACGAAAGTTAAGGTCTCTAGATATGATTGAGTAGACAGTTTTTGGGTATACATTTAGAATACAGTAAATAGGTATTATCAACTTTCGACTAAAGCCCTATGCAATTTGATGGGCAAGGCATATTCGATATTCGGCTTCCTGTATTTTTCACTTTCCTCACAGCTTGTTGCTACGTCGAACGGCAAAGGACATCAGCGCGTGCTCCAGCCGCATGTGGTAGGGAAGCTTGCGCTCCAGGACGACCGGCTCATCATCGCCGTCCAGACAGCACTGATTCCGGCAGCACTCGCACTGCCCATCATCATCATCGTATTCCTGCTGCAGTTCCTGCTCAAACTCGTAGGCCTTCTTGGCTGCCCTCTGTTCGAAGCGCAAATAAAATGCCAGGCAAACAAACAGCATAAAGACCAGGGCACACATGGCTCCACTGGCAATGCTCGCCTTTTCCAACATAGGACGCGGTCGTTTGGGCAGATATGTGCTGTCGATCTCCTTAAACTCGCATCGCTGGCCCATAAAGCCAATGACGCACTCGCAGCTATACACCGGCAGATCGGCAATCGTCACCGCAAAGCAACGGGCATCGTTCAGGCAGTACCAGGCATCGAAGTTCTCCGGACATTTGTACGTGGGGAATGTGATGTTTGGTCGCGGAGTGGTCGTCGTGGTGGTGCGCATTGTTGTGCTACTTGTGACCGGAGCTTGAGTGGGCGGTAAGGCTGCACCGGACATGGACGAGGAGATCGAGGAGCGCGGCTTGGGCACCGTACGGCTGGAGCAGGCCTCGATGTGCGACGGATATGCCAGGCAGGCGATCAGCAACAGGGTAGCTATACCTTGATGTCCGATCATTTTGGAATGCATTACAATTGTTCAGCTTTAATCTATAGCTTTTTGGATATCTGCTCTCGTTTTTGGCTCGCAACGTTTGGTTGTTTAAAAGCTTACAAATACTAAAACTAGTAACTATCACAATAATAAATTAGAATATTCGTGTTGTTCGCTGCAAGGGCGTCGTCAGATCTCTTTGGAATTGGTTTTCTCTATATATATGCTGCTGGTGGAACGTAAACGTTGAGTTAGGGGAGATGTGTGTATCTGTGAGAAAGATAAAAAGGCATTAGTGGCAAGTAATTTCTTAGTACTATCGGGGGTATTTAACTCTAAAATTGTGTACTCAACAAAAGGGAAAAAAATTAAACTGCATAAAATCATAAATATATATATATATATATATGTATATCAAATGTTATCAAAAATCAGTATGTGTTTATGGACCATTATGTTACAATCAGCAAATTTTACATAGATTTCAGAATTTTGTTTTAGTTTTTTATACACAACCAATTCACTTTTTTGTCTCAAATCCGATTTATGTTGTTTCCCGTTGATTATCCTAGCTCATCAAAGCTGGCTGTGATATGCGTTGGGTATCCATATCACAACCACTTGATGAGGCTTAGATAATCAACATCGTACGGATTAGCATCGCTTTTGTAAATATTCATGGATGGTGGGGTTAGTAAAAATATTGCACCGAATGTGTGTTGTTTAGCCCTAAATCAAAGTTGGAAATCCAGTTATGCCATTTTTCGGTGTTGTGGCGGCATGCATTTCTCCTCCGTCCTTCCAAATTTTGATCTTTGTCCGCCGCGCATTTCTTTTCCGATTGCAATTCACTACAAATACAGATCTGAGGTGGACATGTTTTATGACAGATATGTTTTGGGCGTGTGAATTATGTGGCGGGGGGAGTATTATCATGATTGGATGTACGATACATTACGCTAAGCTCATCAAAGCTGGCTGTGATATGCCCGGACAAAGCGGAAATGCATTTCACAACCACTTTGTGAGCCCAGCATGAATGCGCCAATATAGTTTGATTGAGGTTTCAGGATATTTGACTGCGGGATTTCAGAATTTTCAATTTCGATTTTTATGCTCATGTAATGATATAAATAAAATTATACACTTGTTACGATTTATCGTTGTAATTTTACACATTTTCCTTTTTAAAATAATTTTGTCTTTATTTTATTTTATATATTTATCAAATAGTTATTTTAAATTTTTTAATGATTTTTTTTTTTTTAATTTGTCCTTTTTGTTTTGAGCATCGCGTCGCTCCTCAAAGCTGGCTGTGATATGAATAGGCATAAAAAGGCAAACATTTCACAACCACTTTGAAGAATGACACAATTCTCCTGCTTCGATTCGATGAGAGTGCCGAGATTCGGATTCAGGTTCAGATTGAGACTCATTTTCTTCTCGAATCTTTTTCAACGTTCTCACGGCCGCGGGCTTTGAGTCTTGTACTTTTTTTTTTGCAGCCACGGTACAATAAACAAATATGAAAAAATACGAAAATAAATGCGACGACGACTACAACAACACGATGATAATAATGATGATCATGACGACAATAATGATGATGAGGCTGGCGATAATAAACAAATATGAATTGACATGAATGGCGACAACGCGCGAGTGAATGGAGCAATTTTCGTACATCTCTACGCGATAGGCTGGCCATCATTTCAATAATAATAAAATTCAACAGGCACACACACAACATCGAAAAACAACACAGAAAAGGGCGCAACGGGCAAAAAGCAATGCACCCCAAATTATAATAAAAATGTAAACATAATTTTGGCGCCAGCCTTTGCAATTTGTCGCCAAATTTGGTTTTATTTTTTTCAATATTCGAATTGATAAGGTAAAATTCAGATGAAAAAAAATCAAAAGGGGATCGAATCAAGAGCGGTAAAGAGAGCAAACTTTGAATTTCTGAAGTACTAAAATGAACGTGGTTTTTAACAAGACGGTTATTGAATTCAAAAGGCTTACTTTCTGATATCATCGAAAACCTGTTCGATATTATTTAAAACTACATTTGTAAGCTTAGCTTAGACTGGAAAAATGTAAAAAAAATTTTAAAGGATATTGTCCTGCACTCAATGTGATTTTTTAACATAACCAGCAAGCATAAATTTTCATTACATTACGTGGTCAAAAATGTGAAACGGGCAGGCATGTGAACGTAAAATAAAAAGTTGTGATCTTTTCGAATTGTTATGGAGAATAAATTCAATACAGTGAACACCCAAGTGGAAAAAAATTATTGCATGGCTTGTGGGGACTTATTTATGTAAGTATTAGAATGCTTTTACTGTTAACAATTGTTGCATTCTCTCCCCTACCTTTCCCGCTCACAATCGGCGGCAGCTTATTAAAATTTCCGTTATAAAAATTAAATCCGCCGCCGCTCTTATGTACATGTGTACAAGTGATTGTGTGTGCGAGAGGAAGTGGAATTAAGGTAATGTGCGCAAAAATCAAGTTGAATAGCCATATAAAATGCGCTGAACTTGCGAGCGTGTAGGTCAAGATCAGTGGCGGCACTTTATACAATTTTTTGCCAAAGCAATTGAAAAGCAAGTTCGATGATCTTTAAGTGAATATAAATTATGAGATATGAGCCAACACAAAACTCAATAAAAACAACAACATACAAGCACCAGAATAATTACAACAACAGTAACATACAACTATATGAATGTGTGGACAACAAAAAGTGTGCATACATACATGACAACAACAACACCCGCTAATAAAAATACTGTTGTGGCTGCTGCTTCTTCTTCTGCGTCTTTTACAACTTCTTCGAGCCCGTTGTTGTTGCTGTAATTTTCATGTTGCCTTGCTCTCTTTCATTCTTGGGCGTCGCTGCACGAGTTCGTTGGCTCTTCCCGTGTCTGTTTGTGTGTGTGTTTAGAAAACTGTAAGAAAAGCAGAGTGTGTGAAAAATATGGTTTAAGTAAAAATTCCTACACAGGAACAACAACCGCTCGCTCTCTCTTTTCTTAGCTTGCAGTTTTAAAAAAAAAATCTACCGGTTTTTATGTTTTGCGTTTGCAAAAAGCTCATAAAACAAGTCCTACAAGTTTTATTTCCAGAGAGGGAGAGGCCAAAAAGGCGTGAGAGCGGAAAGAAGGCACATTTAGCAGAGACAAAAACCTTTTGAGGTGTGTTGCGTATACGTGCATATTAACAGATACCAACGCTCTCTCTCTCTCGGTCTCTCTTCCTGTCCCACTCTTACTCCATGCCTTTCAAGGGGGGATAAATTATGTATGTATGTACCACCGTCTACATGTGTGTGTGTGCGCGGGAATGTTGTGAGGAATTCTAAGAATTTTGCACGAACGACAAATGAAAACCAAACAAAAAATTTCGAGAGTATAGAAAATACTTTATGCGTCGTTATGCCAAAAGCGTTAAGCAGCCAAAAACGAAATATATATCACACCAACACAAAAACCTAGTCAGAGCAAAAAAAAAAGACGCAAAAGATGGGGAAATGAAAGACAGAGCGCGTGTGTAGGCGTTGACAACACTTTTTTGATTTTTCAATAACCAAGCGGAATGAACCGCTATTCACACAAACACAGAATGATTATACTTTAATTTCACAAATTACCAACTGTTTGCATTTAAATTTTGAAAACATTAGTATAAAACGCCATCGAAAGTCGCCGCGCACAAGAAAATACACAACCGCTCCGCAAAAGATTCCAACACCGAGTGCCGAACAACAACAAAATGAGTTCTAAAGATGGACTTGTTTTGGCTGAGCGAGAGCTGCAAAAGAGCGAGACTCTCCTGGAGAGAGCGAACGAGAGCAAATGAGTCTCTCAACTCAAAATGCGGCATAATAACAACAACGCGGCGAGCGGCTTTGGAGCTGTAGTTTTGTACCCGTTACTCGTAGAACTTGAAGGGTATATTAGCTGTTGGGGAGAAGATTTTTTAAACCAAAAAAGACATAACCTCAAATAAATGATCCATTTACTTAAAAGATATTCAACTAATACCTTCTTTAAATGCATTTCTGGATGTCTAGAATTATAACTCAGAAGTATTTAGAATTAATTTAGTATTCCACAACTAGACAAATGTTTAACACTGTGGAATGCGCGCAGAAATGCAAATGATTTGTAGCAGTCATACTACTTTACAAGTAGGCTACATAACTTGTAGCAGTCCGGGGTATCTTGTAGTCGGAATACCAGAGACTTGTTTCAGGATTTCTTGTTTTGTTTTTGTTTTGGTGTTGCCAGAAGATTTCGCACGATGTAGGTTCAACATGTTATTGACACGACGCCGCCGACGCCGTCAGTTTAAGTTCGGTGGAGCTAAAAGCACACAAACAAGAAGCGACGCAAGCGGTGGTACGAAAACCACCGAGAGCAAGGGGGCGTGGCGGGGGAGCAAGGGCGGGGCAGGTAGCCGGCCAAACGGGACGAACAGGATGAAACCCAGACGAGTTCAAACCAACTGGAGATTTCATGGAACTGGCCGAAGGTTGAGGATGCGCAGGCGCGCAAGTAAACAACATTCCGTTCCTCGGGAAATTTCTTTGTTGCCGCTCAAGAAGCGCGCCAAAAATAAAACCCCGCTAAAGTTGGCCAGCAGTCGCCTTATTGCGATTTTGATTTTGTTCAATTTAACGCCCTTTTTTTAAATTAGAGAACCACACTTTGTTCGAACTTTTAAAACTATAAATTAAAAACTTAAGAACTCAATCTGGTACACAATTCAAACATGAAATGTTTATCTAAACAAGAAAGGAAAGCTAACTTCGGGCGGAGCCGAAGTTGATATACCCTTGCAGAATACTCTGTAAATTATATTCTCCAAAATTATTCATATGATGCATTCTTAATACTCATAAAAAATCCGAACTTCCTAACTTTAACAACAACAAAGTTATGGCATTTCCAATCGTTCAGTTATATGGCAGCTATAGGATATAGTCGGCCGATCCTTATGAAATTTGATAGGTCGGATTGATTGGCCAAAAATAAAATCCATAGAAAATCCCAACTTCCTAACTTTACAAACACCAAAGTTATGGCATTTCCGATCAATCAGTTATATGGCAGCTATAGGATATAGTCGGCCGATCCTTATGAAATTTGGTAGGTCGGATTGATTGGCCAAAAATAAAATCCATAGAAAATCCCAACTTCCTAACTTAACAAACACCAAAGTTATGGCATTTCCGATCATTCAGTTATATGGCAGCTATAGGATATAGTCGGCCGATCCTTATGAAATTTGGTGGGTCGGATTGATTGGCCAAATATAAAACCCATAGAAAATCCCAACTTTCTAACTTTACAAACACCAAAGTTATGGCATTTCCGATCAATCAGTTATATGGCAGCTATAGGATATAGTCGGCCGATCCTTATGAAATTTGGTAGGTTGGATTGATTGGCCAAATATAAAACCCATAGAAAATCCCAACTTCCTAACTTTACAAACACGAAAGTTATGGCATTTCCGATCAATCAGTTATATGGCAGCTATAGGATATAGTCGGCCGATCCCGGCCGTTCCGACTTATATACTGCGTGCAAAGGAAAGAAGGGTGTGTGCAAAGTTTCAATCCGATAGCTTTAAAACTGAGAGACTAGTTTGCGTAGAAACAGACAGACGGACAGACGGACAGACGGACAGACGGACAGACGGACAGACGGACAGACGGACAGACGGACAGACGGACATGGCTATATCAACTCAGGAGGTGATCCTGATCAAGAATATATATACTTTATAGGGTCGGAGATGTCTCCTTCACTGCGTTGCACACTTTTGACCAAAATTATAATACCCTCTGCAAGGGTATAAAAATATAGAGCCAAAATGTCTATTAATAACAAAAAACAAATTCCCGGTTGTAAAGTTTTTGCGACTGAGTTCTCTAAAATAATAAGAAAACATTCATTGAAATAGGATTTATGTATATAATGTAAACTTAAATGGGATTTGGGACAATTTAGTTGTTTTATCTGACATCGGGAGACCGAAATCCCCAAAAGTTCAAACGGTTTGGAAAAAATGGAATTTGTTTTCAATATTCTTTCGTGGCAGCTGCCGATTCGAGTTAGGGAAGTACAACTGCAAGTATAAAAGCAGCACAACTACTCGTTTCCGGTGGGTAGTCAGTCCGTAATGTGGGCCGCCGACACCATTCCAAAGCCAATTGACGTCACAAGCGACACACAACAGCAACAACCTGGCACAACGTTTTCTGGGTTACAACAGCTCACGGATGTCGGAATGCTTCAAAAAACAAAAAAGAAATAAAGAGTCACCGAATGGGACAAGTTGGTTTGGTAGAGTTTTGGCCAATCAATCGGCTTAGTTCACAACCCGGCGGCACTCGAATGTCACAGGTTCAACTGTACACTGTACAATACCCAGATACAATGTTGGGGGATGGGATGGGCGAAATGTTAATGGATTGCCCTAGGACCTGCCCTCATTCCGTTTGCCATCTTTGTCGCTTCGCTTCTGCACTTGTGCATTCCCCCATTTCCATTTCGTCGTGCTTCTTCGCCACCTTTTTTCTTGCCCCTTTTTGCGGTGTTCTGTTGCTTTTGTTGATGTTACAATTGTTGCACTTGTTGTGTGCGGTTTAGGACATTGAACCACAGCCGACAGAAATGCAGAACTGCACGCAACTGAAAAGCAATTGTACAGCTGCGGTCAAAGAATTAGCAATGCATACGCACGTAGGGTTTCCCTCACTTAAACAAAAAAAATAAGCAAAAATATCGTATATAAAACTTAATCTTATTCATAAGAGATTCCTATTAGTTAAGAAATGTTGTATAATCACAAAATAAAGGTAATCTGTTATACCAGATAATTATTTTGAATAATAATGAATAATCATTACCCCTAAACAACTAGATTTTTTTATCGAACTTTTTTTCGTTTGCTTTAACTGATTTAATACGGAGTAACCTCTGCTACTTCTGGTAGCAAAAGCCCGAGTTCAAATCGCTTACTATTTTTATTTTCATTAATATGTTACTAATTTAATGTTTTTATTTGAAGTTTAATCATACATGTCATAGTAAAGTTTTGGTATATGTAAAATCATTAAAAATGCATTATCATACATATGTACTTTTTTCGTTTCGTTTAGAACAAATGTATCTTTTTTCTCTGTGAATTTTTGCCAGTTGCTCACATTTTTACAAGCATAGTTGTAAATTTATATGGACATTTGAAAAATCATTTTGAAGGCGCACTAGTAAAAATACATTTTCATATGTATGTATTAATGAATCGAATCCTCGTATAAAATGATGTCGATAAAAGGTCATGATGGGGGAATTTTTTGCCAATTGTTGGTGGGTCGAATAGTCTGGGTCGCGAGACGTCTGACTAGACAACATGCAAATAGTAACGGTAATCATTAGACTCACACACTCGCATTCCCATTTTATTTGCACGTACTCTCTCTTTTGCTCTCTCTCCCTATTTTCTATGCTGAGTTCGACGGCCTTCTTACGTAAAATCAACAACAACGCTCTGACGGTATTTCTCTTCTAATAAGCGGTCGCTTGTAGATGGGGGCTGGTGGGATATGCACTCGCCGCAGTGTTGCCATATCGAGCGAGACATCAAACTCGTTTTCACTGTTTTGACTCCATACATATGTACGTATGAGTGAGTGTCTTTGCAACTGTACAAGAACAATAAGTATATACGAACCAAAGCCAGCATAAAAGCAACAACACACTGCGCAGACGCCAAGCAAACCGCTCCCCCTCCCCTTCATGTTTGTCTGTCTGTCTGGGACGTCTCTTTATGTATGCTTTGGGTGTGTATGTGTTTGTGAGCAATTTTTATTTTTCTGAATGTAAAGGAAGTGGCACGTACTGTACTACTCAAACTCACCGCTGCCGCTACCAACAACAACAACAAGAGCAGTGACAGCCGGATCAGGCCGGGAATTCGAAATTGGAAATGTGGAATGAGAGCGGAGCGCGTCGGATTCGCGTTCCAATTCCGCGTCGTTCCTGAGCACAGTGGTTGCGAAAAGTGAAATGCAATGAAACCGAGTTCGTAAATGATCATGGGCAAAAGATACGGACAAGAGCGAAAGTAGACGGAAATCCGTTTTGCGAGGGTGAACAAACAGGTATATTTACATTACAGCAAAGATATTGCTGGTGCACACTCCAAACAGTTAACCAGTAAAATACAAAATTTTTAATAAAACCCAATAAGTGAACCTTTTTAATTTAGTACTAGTAATACTACTGTACTAGTCTACAATAAAACAAAGAAAATGTGGGTTGTCAACAAAAAATTAAGAGGAATGAACATCCTAGTTTGACTCAATCGTTATTATTTTTACGTTTATAGGACGAATATTCAGAAGACTTTATGGTTTATGTTCCTTTAAAGCTTATCACACATTTTTGAGCCACCTTTGTACTTAATTTTCGTGCTAAAGTTCAAATTATATTTAACTTTAAAGGCATCAACATTGTAAGATCGATCGATCCATTGTACAGATGGAAGAGCGGAGTGAGAGGAGAAAGCAAGAGAGTCGGCTGGTTTGCGTCTCTGCTGTGCGGCAGACAGACAAGACATGCGTACGGATGAGCCTGAAAGGGAGCGACGGGTGTAGGGGGTCTGCAACAATATTATAAACAGGAAATGGAATTTACCCACACGGATGCAGCAGCCCCGACTGTCTGTGAATTGGACGCGGTGCTTAATTGACAAATGAGCAGGAAAGAGAGGGAAAAGAGCGGGCGAGCGCTTACAAAGTTGATTGAAATCAATAGTGTGCGAAAGCCGTAGACAAGTGTATCGGTGTGTGAGTGTGTTAAGACCGCTCGAGGAATGTGTGAAAAACGCGGCCAATGACGGCAATCAAACGACGAGAGGAGCAAGAATGTTGAACGCTGGAATGCGGCTGGAAAGAAGTTTCTGTAAATAGAAATGGAAGGGAGGGGGATAGGCGAGACTTTTGCACCTGCCACGCCCAGCTGCCCCTGGAAACTATTAACATGTTGCACAATTGCAACGAGTCCTATATACATGCACACACACATGGGCGCAATTGCAGATGGCGACGAATATAGCGTGTGTAGTTTTTCTCGGAAATGAGCAATGAATGAAATTCGGTTGTTTTCAGCGTGAACTCACACACACACACTATTGCAATTTAGAGCAAGAGAGAAAGTCTGCACGACATGCGCTCTGACGTTTGTGTGTATACAATTTGTTTACTTTTTTGCGCTACAATTGGCAAATAAAACAATAGCACACTTTTATAAAGCATTTTAGCGTACTAACCTACATTAATGGCTCACCAAACAGGCAAATAACGTTCAATTGTCAATAAAGTTTATGGATTAAAATAATAAAAAAAAATGTCGGTAAAAAAAAACATGCAGAGCGCAACTGTATTGCGCGCTAGTGTGTGAAAAGGAGACGGACATAGAAAAAAAATACACATATACACACAGGAGAATTTATTGCTGCTTGCGGCGCCCACACACATACACAAACACACCTTCTCAGTACAGCTACTGCGTATATTCAATAAAATAGTTTTCTGGAATAAAAAAATATTGTCTCCTGCCTTCATTTCCCATTTTTTTTCGCCGCAACTAATCGTTACTCACAGTTACTAATTTTATCTCACACACACACGCATACATGTTGGCTACGTTTTTATGGTCGATTTTACAGAGTTTATGCAGTATCTCCTCAGGAAGTTCACTTACTTTTGGTTTTGCTTCGATTGATGCACTTTTTTGGCCGGTTTTTATGCCATTTTCTTTTTAGAAAACTGAAAATGTACAAATCGCTCTGTCGCGTCTTAAATTAACAAGTGTGACCAGAGTTCATGGAAGAGGCGAAGGTGCCATCGCGTTAAAACATAAAGTAGTGTTGTAAAACGCTAAAGCTAGATATGTGATTTTAAATAAAGTATCATCGGTTTTAAAATAATACCTTTTAATTAGTTATTTAAAATCACATATGTTAAAAATAGTACAAGAATAAGAAAAAATACCGATAGAAAATAACTAATATAAAAAACTTATTTTTGCTGCCATTTCAGAAAAGCGCCAAAATAATATGATTGTCTAATTTTTAATTTTGTATTCTAATAATTACATAATCTTCCAATTAAAAGTTGTAATGAAATCCTTTTTTTAATACAGCAAGATGTGGCTTGAAAACAGCTAGACTAGCACTACAACCCTGCTTTCATTTTATGGTCTGGCAACGCCACACGACGCCATTTCAAAACAAATGCGCGGCAACGAATTTTATTTCACACCGAAACATTGAGTGAAAAGTCGTGAAAGAAGACAGATAAATTTATCAAAATGGGAGCAAAAGCAACAAAAATGGAGGGTGAATATTTGCCGGATACGCCGACACTAAACAGAATGCGCCTGGCCAGCGAAAAACAGGAAAATGTGGAAATGACGACGCCGAATAGAGAGCAAAATAACGCTTTACTAGATCCTCGATCTCCAAATGGCTGTCGCACACCTCTAAATGTGAGTTTTTTGGGGTTTAAGGTGGTTATTGTGTGTTGTTAAAGAAGGGGAGCAGTTTTTGCAGGCCGGACAGCAAAAACCGCGTGCTGAGGAGGCAGAGGAGCAGGTGGCCACCAGTGAGAATGCCTTTGCAATGTTGCGAAAACGTTTGCTCAAAGGCTTCTCGCTTAATGATCCCCGTTCTCCTAAACTAAATCGTACTCCTTTGGTTCTCGACGAGGTGCGCTCCCTCAATATGGACGACACCTTTGCCGATCTCTTTGTGGACACCAGGGCGGGCTCAGTCCAACGAGCAGTGCCAGCTACTCCTCCTCAAGTGGATTTGGAGGAGAGCTGCGATAGCTATGGCACACCACCGTCTAATGCCCACAACAATAGTTCCCTGGAGATTGTTTCATTGCCCTTTGACGAGGAGGAGACCTTGCCTTGTGAAAGTCAGCTGTTGCAGAAACGGGAGCAGGATCCGGTCAAGATGGAGACCCCGCCTCCTGCACAGCAGCTTCATAGTGATCCCCGTTCGCCCAGCATGGGCGTCGATCGCACACCCATTATCTTCTGCGACGACGAGGAGGAGGAGGCTCGTGAGGCTCAGATGCTGGAGCACATCCTGGAAACCCTGACCCTAAATCTAAGCACTGGCAGCAGTATGGCCTCCTTTGCTACTGGCGAGGATCAGCCCTCAGCTATGCCAGCCAACAAACCTTTGGAGCGCGTGCGTTTGGGTCACAAGCGAAGGGTTCCGCCGCGCAAGCCCGCAAGGGCCAACAAGCCAAAGATCTATGTCGATCAGGAGGAGGAGTCGCCAGTGGCAGGAGGATCCATCACACCCAAGTCGAACAGTACACCCCTGTCCGCTCAGAAGCGTACCCCACTCAGTTGTGTTAAGAATAAAACGCATCTGCGGTCGCGTTCCGGGGAAAGGGATCTCAGGAAGACGCAGATTCCTCCTGTGCAGACCTTCAACGATCAGATGCTGCTAATCTCCGGCGGCGAGGGACTGAACGGACCTATATACTAACCAAGTTTAGTAGTTTTAAATTGCCCACCGAAAACCCACCAAATCATTTTGCACCTTATAATTCTCACTTCATTCATATTTTAATAAATCATTTTATTAGTTTGCTTTCAAGTATCTGGTTTTTCTTATCAGATATCTCTGAATGGATATTTTTTAAATTTTAAATGTTTTTAATAGAGGCTCGTAAAGTAAATAACATGAATAAATAAGCACGACCAACCAAGTTCCCAATGCTCAAAAATGTAAAATTAAAGACACTGCCTATATTTTTTAACAGTTTTGGTATAAAAATAGATATATGTTTTATTGTTCTACATTGGCCAATAATATTTCCGTTGCTACATTTTTATCTTAGTAGTCGATCGACTACGTTATCCCGTTAAAACCATGCCATATTTTTGTTGTACGTATGTATACCTGCCACAAAAGCTCCATTAAGTTCTAAGAGTATTTTATAACATAACTATCAAGTACAACTTCGTTCTTTGTAGAGTGTAATATTGCATTATCTAAGTTTTTGTGAAGTCCTGATTCAAATTGAAAAGGAACCGGAATACATTCTTTATCAAAAATACATTTGTGCAAAAGCCTTGATTCGAGTAATAAGTTAAAGCTTTAGTCATACTGTAGTTGCAGTTTGTCCAGCAGGCAGTCAATGGCCTCCTGATCCAGCTCCTCCTCGTTGGCCAACACGAAGTCGAAGCCATCGGCCATATCGTCCAGATCGCACTCCGATGGCACATCGTCGATCCCAACAGTGAAGGTCCAGCCCCGTGCGCATCGCGTTTCCGGACGAGAGGTGAGTCGCAGGGTTACTACCCTTTCCGGACCGTAGGTTTCCCGGAACCACTTGATGTCGTTCTTGCGCCGCACATCGCTGACCAGGATGTAGGGCGTCTGCTCGCGGCTCACAGCCTCCTCCATCGCCACGCGACAGAAGTAGCCGTAATCCTTGGCCCGCACCTCATCGCTCCACACGATCATGTCGCGGCGATACTTCTCCTTGTAGGGTCCATCGCTGAGCAGGGCATCCAGGTCCAGCTGCAGCTTACGAGCCCATTCCGACTTAATCGGCTCCGAGATTCGAACGATCCGGGATCGTGAGCCTAATCTGAAAATTCAGATTTATGGTGTTTTAAGATCTTTATTCATATAGCTGTTTTTTTATTCATTCCCCAGAAAAGGTATCTTAAAGTTCCAAAAATATACTTAATGGATTTAATATGGGTTTTGATTTTCAGAATAGGTTTCTATGAAACAAATTCCATTTCATTTTAAAAATTATATCTAAAAATGATTTTCTGTTTAGAAATGTTTTTTTTTTTTTAGAAATTCTTCAACAATATGTTTTTTGAATTCTAAAAAGCAGTCATATTTCACTTGTTTTTTAATAAACCTTTAAATACCATTATTTTTAAACGAACATTTTGCAGCAATCACTGCGAGAAATGGGTATTATTTATGGAACCTTAATAGACAACGTGGGAATTATAGAAGAAATCTAATTACCTTTGTTGCAACCTCTCAGAAATGTAATCCTTGCCGCACTTTCGCTTGCCACTGATCAGCACGATTTTCATCATTTTTTTGATGGCCAACTTTCACTTTTTTGGTTGCTCGTTATTTCCAATACAACTGCCTCTGTTTTTGGCCTCGATATTATGGTTTATTATTCTTGGTAGAGCTCATCGGATACAGAGTTTGTCTGGCCTACGACTTGACTTCGCTGCGCCTTACCTTTTGTACTTATGCTAATGTTTTAATAAACAAATGCGTTCGGCTTCGGATTTGTTTACCTTTTGTATTTCACTGGCTGAACAACCAGCTGGAGAGTTTATCGTTTACGCAAGCATATCGATTACTAAACAATCGAGCGGGCTTTTTCAAAACAGCCCCGAAAATACCAACGAAACTTTCTATAATAGTATATTTACTTTATTTATTTCCCTATTTTAGTCATTTTCATTACGATAGATTGTCTTTTAGTTTATTAACTTCTTAAATTTCCTGTCAATGAACTAAGAAAAAATAAGAGCAACTTATGTTTATATTTTTCGGGCTTCTCTAAACCCGTAAAATACATTTAATTATTTACTTCTTAACATACATGTAGTTCACTTAATTAAAAGCCGTGCCTGCGTAAAAAACTGCTGCCCCTGTGTACTTCTGTGGGTCTCATGGGATTGCCCCTTGGTCCGCCCCTTATCTGTAGTATTGCGATTGCTGCCAGTTGCCACTCGAGCCACCCACTGTCGTCTCGGCGGAGCCACCAACCTGGGAACCCGGGCCAATTCCGGTGGAGTTTGGACCAGTCGGCGGTCCTGTGGTCGGCACGCCTGGAGCCCCCGATCCTCCTCCCGCACTGCCGAAGGAGGCAAGCACGCTGCTGTAGTAGGAGGCATCTGCCACCGATTCGGACTGATGGGGCGGACCCTTCTTGAGGCTGTGGTGCAACGAGGCCTTGCCCTGGTGGCAGTCCTGGGCATTGGCATTGTTGATCCTGGCCAAATTGGCCAGTGTTAGCGTGGAGTGGCCATGGATGGCGTTTTGAACGGCGGAGGATCCTGGTGGCGGTATGCTACCGATGCCACCTCCTACTGCGGTCAGTGGTCGCGACAGGGGACGGACAATGGAGGCAGAGGAGGAGGAGACGGATACGGGGAGAGACGACTCGGAGAGCTGCAAGGGGCAAGCGGGTTTTTATAGACAGGACAGCTTAGTTTAGGAGCCATAGCTACCACTCGCCTTGCGCTGCTTGTGCAACTCCAGCCCCAGGCCGACGCCGCCCAGATCCGACATCTTGGGCTGCTCCGCCATGGACGCCAGCTGCGGCAGTGGCTGTACATGTCTGTGATTGATGTGCGCCTGCAGGTCCCTCTGCGAAAGGTAGGTTCGCCGGCAGCCAGAGCTTCCGTACCGACTGCCCCCGTGGGTGCACATGAACACGGTGCCCAAGCCACTCTGCTCCACACGGAGCACCTTGTCCGTGCACCGCGGACAGCTTTTAATGGGCTCTGAACGGGCGCACTTGAGGCAGAAGACGTGCTTGCAGGGTATCATTCGGCCGTAGACGAGGATCGGCTTGTCGCACTGATCGCAGCAGTGGATCATCGGATTGAGAACCTTCTCGCCGATCAGGCTCACCTTGTGGCTCCACTTCAGGCGCAGCATCGGCTCCGGAGGTCCTCGCGACAGTGTAGTGAAGGTGGGCGCCTCCAGCTGCGATATGTCCGCCTCCATGTCAACTGTAAAAGCGGAGATAGGTTAAAAATCCACAGGTTTGGAATATGAGGAATCGATTGAGGCAAATATATTTAATTTTTGTCCATCAAATTTAACTTGGAAAACCAAAAGAATCTCACTTGTTTGGCTGAGAACAGGCGGTGGCACCTGCTGCAGGGCCTGTGGCTGTGGCGTTGGTGGCGTCATGTCTGCTGAGACGGCGAGTGGACCTTGTGCTCCTGGCAGGGGCTCTTCCAAGGCCGGAGCCACCTCCACTTCTGCCTCCTTGTCCAGTTCCTGCATGACCGAATCCTCGGAAGGCTCCAGCCTGATGGGACTGTCCTCCAGGGCTGCACCACTGGTGACTACCAGGGCTGAATCTGCGATACTGCTGTCGTCGATTTTCTTGCCACGACCGCGTCCCCGCCCACGGCCTCTCCCACGGGCTCTTGTGCCACGCCCACGTCCACGACCACGCTTCACTTCCTCCGTGTCCATGGTTTAGTCGTAATCCCCTGGGGTTTTTGGCTGATTTTTACGTTTTTCGGTTTTTGTTTAGCTCCGCATTTGCGCCCGGGCAGGGTTGTCAACACTACTGACAGAGCTGCACAGTTTTAGTCTAAGGGTGACCATCCCTCGAGCCAACAACACTGAAAACTGAAGGGTGGCCACGCTGGTCAAATTTAAATATATTTGAAATTTGTTTTTCTTTACAATATTTGTATTCAAATGCTACTAAATTAATAACTATCTTATTTTTAACGGAACAACGGTACTTTTATAATGTAATAATACACAGTATAATTTATAAAGTTATTTACATAAGGAAAAACATTTTATATCTTGTTTGTTTTGAAAGGTTTAAGTATGGGTAAAATCGAATATTAACTTAGAGCTCTTGTTTATTCAAAAAGAATTTTGTGGTTTTCTTTATAACAACAACTACATCTTATAGCTATTTAAATTAAAATATTTTTCATTTAAAGGGGATTGTGAAGTGAAACCGCCTAGTTTATATTTATATATTTTGTTTTTATTTATAGTATAATAATATCTTAACCGAATATTAATAAAAATCAATCAATGCGTGGTTGTTTATACAAAATCACATTAAAAAAATAAAACAACAAATGGATTAAATAGGTTTTCTGGATGTGTCTTTTACGTGTTATATTCGTGTTGTCTTTAAATCTTTGGACATTTTCAGTCAAGCATCAGAGTTAGAGTTAGTTCTATAAAAATGTTGTTAGAAAAAGGTTAAACAGAAAGCTGATAATTGTACTTAAGTCAATTACGAGTCGGCTTCATCCACCTTGGGGGCGAGATAGTATCGGATGTAGCCAAAATCCTCGATGGGATATTCCACCAGGAGCGGCACCTCGGGGGCCAGGCAAATCTTGACCCGATCCGCCAGCGGAGTGGCCTTGGTGAAGGTGTTCAGGTACCGACCGGCGAAGGTCTGGGTCAGTGGATCCTTCACCTCGATGCTGACGTCCATTTTGCTACCCTCACTCAATTGGATATTGGCCGAACCCAAATCCCCGTTGGCCGAGAACTTGACACCCTGTTTGGAGCAGGCGATCGTTAGGGATTCACTGAACATGCTCATGTCCCGGCAGATGCGGGCGAACTCCATCGACGGTAGTTGGACTATGCAGGAGTAGTCCGTGTCTGGAATCCCCAAGTGATCCTGATCCAGATTTAGTAATTTCAGTTCGTAGTCCGCTGTGCGTTCCTTGCCATCCGATTCGAAGCTCAACAGGATCTTGTCGGGTTTGTCGATGGCCTTTATTGTGACCATATCGTCGCTATTGGCGCACTTCAACACCTTGGCCAGGGATTTAAGGTCCAGTCCCAAGGATACATTGCGATCACATCGGAACTTCTCGAAGCATTCTGATTTCAAGCAAAGAGCGACTAGTGACACATGCGAATTGTCCATTGATTGCAGCTGGAATCAAAATTAGTCACATTTTAAAATTGATAATACATTGCACGATGAGAAAACATCCCGATCTGGATAGCTAAGCTATACAATCTTAAATCCAAATTTTAAGGCTTTGTCAAAATCTTTAATTATAAAAATAATAAGGCTATAATAAAAGTGACAAATAGCCCTATAAGCGATAAGTTTTTACTAATTCACCTGCAAGCCAGAATCGCTGCAATCCAGCGTTCCCTGAGGGATTATCTCTTTCAGAGCATCAACGATTTTCTTTAGCAGCAAAGTGCATGTTAATCGTGCCTCCAGCATATTTCGAAAAGTAACAATCACAAAGTAAAGTCCCGTTAATTTCACAATTGGAAATAAACATTCTGAAGCTAGTCAGCTGTTGTCGAAAACAGTGGTTGAGCTTATTAGGGGCATTCCTGTAACGGATTTTTACATTGATTCTGTTGTTTTAAAACACTTTTTTTTTGTATTTGTGTTGTATTTTTTCCAAATACTTAACTTTTATTATAAAAACAAATTGAACACAATTATTTGATGTATTATTGAATAACTTTGATTTAAACTATAGTTTCCGATAAGTACAAGTACGCAAGAGAAATTCACTATCGTGTAGTACATTCTCGTAGACGGCTACTGGCGAAATTTCAGCCCATTCGGACTCGTAGTTTGGTTTTGACCTCTTTTGGGAGATGTGGCAGCACCTACGAAGCGGGTTCCGGTTCCGAGTGGAACCAATCCCTTTAGTTCGTAGTTCCAGTTCGGATCCAGCCATGTCCAATATGTTTACGCTGCACGGGAATTTATTCATAACCAATTGCTGAGGTTTGTGATGGCCACCGCCCAATTGGAGCATGCTCCACCCGCAGATCCACATCTCCGGCGTAATCCCAGCGAATGGCTGCAGTGGTGTCGCCTGTGCGCCAAGGACGACTTGGAGGGCAACATGAATGTGTTCCTCAAGAACGAGGACTCCGGCGAGGCATTCTCATTGGAGCTGGCCACCGCCATTGGCAAGTACTTCTGGGTGAATGTGAGTGGACCTTGGAGCTCCTTGAAAATCCCGGTTAATTGTTGACTTCCATCATTCCCAAACCAGATAACACGGGGTGAGGAACTGCCGGAGATGATTTGCAATGAGTGCCTGTCGCTGGTCACCTCGCTGGTGAATTTCTCGGAGCGGATAACCCGGGTGCAGAAGCTTTACTGCATCCTGCAGAGTTCGTCCGGCCAGGAGACCCTAAATCTCCAGGAGCTGCGCTCAAAATTCGGGTTAATGGACGAGGAGACTCTGACAGAGGTCCACTATGTTGATAAGAAGCCAAAAATGGGTGAAGAGGTACAATTTCTGCCAGAGGAGTCGGCTTACGAGTTGGAGAACCCATTAACTCCGGAGGGAAAACAGGAGCTGGACCAGCCGGATGAAGAGGTAGAGCAGGAAGAGCCGGATGACCAGGATCCAGACTACGATGCCGACGAAGACGCCGTGCTGCTGAAGCTATGCGATGCCTATGGAATCCAGGACGATCAGTCTTCCAGTGGCAGTTTAAGTGACTCCTCGCCAAGGCAAGAAAAAGCCGGGAAAGGAGCACTCGACTCCGATAAGAGACATCAGTGTAGCGAGTGTTTGCGAAGCTATGCCACCGCTAGGACTCTGCAACGTCACCTGCGGCAGGATCACGGCAAGATTGAACAGTCATCCGATCAGCTGCAATGTCCGGATTGCCCCAAAAAGTTCCGGCTTCATTACCAACTGGAGCGGCACATCAAATGGCACGTGCCCTTGCCCAAGCGAAAACAGTATGCCTGCAGCAATTGCGACAAGAAGTTCGCCACCAGTGCGTCCGCCCAGCATCACGAACAGTACATGCACCTGGATGAGCGACCGAGACCGGTGATTTGCGAGCAGTGCGGCGTGGGTGTCCATTCGATGAGCGCTCTTAAGGAGCATGTCCTGAAGCACACCGACTATGCCCCCTTCGAGTGCGAGGTGTGCAAGAAGTGCTTTAAGTCGGCAAATCGACTGAAACACCACAAGGAGACGCACGATCCGCACAAGTACATCTGCCCGGAGTGCGGCATGCAGCTGAATTCGCGAACCACTCTTAATCGCCATCGGTTGGTGCATACGGATCAGATGCAGCATAAGTGCGACTACTGCGGCCGGGAGTTTAAACGGGCCAAGGCGCTGAAGAATCACCTCATTCTGCACACTGGCTTAAAGCCGTACTCCTGTGACTTTTGCGATCGTACCTTTGCCAATGGCTCAAACTGTCGCACGCACAAAAAGAAGTCGCATCCCGAGGAGCTGGCTGCCCAGGAGGCGGCAGGCGGTGGCAAGTCCCATAATAGAAATATACCCAAGCTAGAGGCCCTCAAGGCGTTGTAAGTTCACTCAAAAATCAATTTAGTTTTCTGAGGGAATATATGTTAAAATTTTACCCTTTTCTTTTGCAGCACCAAGAACAAGGACAACCTTTCGCCGGTGGCCACTAAACAGAGTGGCTGTTTCGCTTTCGGAAAAAAGCCCAAGCCATCCATGAAGGATACTGCCAGTCTCACGCCTGCTTCGAATCCAACTCCCACTCAAGACGCCCAGCCTGATCCAGAGCCTGATCCCGGAGGGGAGAACACAGCCCAGCCCAATCCTCCAGCTACGGCCATACCCACGATAGACAATATATACAATCATATTATGATTGACTACCGCTGATGGCGGCGAAACTGTGGGCAAGCGTGTTTCTTAATTATATATATTATTTGCAACACGAAAAGATTAATAATTTTTTTAAACAAATTTAGAACCTGATTTCCTTGCTTCCAGTAGCAAACATTTTTATTTAGGAATTTTAACAAGTTATTTTAAAAAAACTGTATAAACTTAGTTTAATTGTTTATTTTGACAACCGTTCATTGATCACAAATATAATGTGACTTGAAAACCTCAAGTGATTATTTATTTAAAATGTCCTTTTCCGAGTGGTGAAAGTTTGTCATTGCTATTTAAAAAAGAGATTAAAACAAAATATTGTTCTTATGTGTAGGAATGTAACAATTTTGTAACTTTAAAATGTTTTGAAAAATATTTTAAAAAATAATTCATTTCAAAATTCAATTGAAAATAATGTAGCTTTTAAATTTAATGACCTCAGCGTTATCCTGCTATTTTGTGGTTGAGGTAATTTATATATACTTAAACTATTTCAATTAGCCATGTATTTAAGCGCGAAAATCGGTTTTAAAAGATTTGGCGCATGTGCCTTGGGGTTTGGAGTCGGAATCTGAGGCGAAGACAAGTCACCCCCATTTATCCTGGTATAAGGGAATTTAGTTCAGTTGACAGCGTGCGCCTACCTCGTGTCCTGCTCTTCATTAATATTTCTTTAAAATTTTTCGCCCAAATCGAGTGAATTAAAATGTTGAAGATGTGTAAAAAATCTAACGATATTTCCCAATCTGAAAATGGCAGAATTGGGCAACAAACAAAGTAAAAAATTGTGTCAGTGGCACCTTTACTCCGATGTGTGAGCCGAAAAATCAAAAAAATCGATTTGTCCCCCAATAAAAACAAAGTGCATTAAACGGTCCTAAAGCCCGATGAATTTCAAATAAACCAACTGTGCTTTAAACCGTAAAAATTGTGTGTTGAAAACTGTATGCTTTAAAACCGAAAAAGTCGTTAAATTAAATATTAATTGAAAAAGTAAAGTAAGAAAAAAATCAAAAGAGCAGGCACAGCAGCTGACATTAAAAAAAACTGAACAAAAATCTTGATAAACAAATTAGAAGTGTAAGTAAATTTAAAAGGCAATGTTTAAATAAAATACTTAGGGATCTAAAAAGATTAAATAAATTCCGCCCTGGTTTTCGATTCCACAGCTGTTTATATTCCGTTTCATCCCTGGTTTTGGGTTTTCGGAATCAGTTCGCTCGCGAACAACAAGAAAGAACAACACCAAAATTTCATTTGGCTGCGCGAAATTACCCAAAAAATCGTTGTTTTTCAATATTCTGGAATATGATTAAATGTGTGACAAGATAGTTTCGGTTTTCTGCGTATTAAAAAGTTATTGTTTATGAAATCGCCCTTTGTCTTTCGACCGTTTTTGTCGGCGTTTTTCCCACTTGTTTTTTACGCACACTACGCGCGTGTCGGACTGTGTCTGTGTGTGTGATGTGAGTGTTTGTGTGAATAAAAAAATCGATTCTGTTGTAAGTTTTTGCCATTAATTACTCCGCCACATATTAAAGTAATACCCACGAATCGATGAATATGTGTAACATGTGTGCTGAGTTGACCAAGCCCCAGACAACATAGAAATCTTGTTATGCTGGTCGGTTGTTGCTGTTTATAAAGCCAAACCAGTCCTAAAAAAGTGGCGTGGGCGGACTTGAAGTTCCCATCGGACGCAAAGTCCCAAAGTTGCCACAAAAATGTCCATAGTATCTGTAATCCGACGATGCAACAGTGCAGCAAGCCCGGTTTTTAATTACCGTACACAGAATTGAACAAAGCAAAAGGGTCTCAATTTGACTGTCCTTTCAAATCTAATTGGAATAATAATACATATAGGATTTCCAAGATGAAGGGTCTACGGCAGCACAAAGATGTTAATCCTAAATAGCTCGTTTTAATCAATTAAATATAAAGTTTTTTAAAGATTAAGAGCTTAGATCTATATACATTTGTTTTATAATTCGGTAAATACTTATACTTTTAATAGTAATGCATTCTTTGCTTTATTTATAAAAAGTTTGGAAATTTCATTACCTCAAAAATGGCCAGTAAATAAGTATATTCTATAAGATACACTTTAATCGGCGCAGTATCTAAGCATTTAAAAGCTTAGCTTTCTGGACTGCTGATCTTAGTTTGCGGTCCATTAATTAAGTCCTAAACTATAGCAAAAGTTTGAAGGAATCGATGTGGAAATCATCACAATTTTTAAAGTTTACAGTTAACGAAGGCTTTTATAAATCTGCACGAATTTTTGTTAATTAATGAACTCGAACTATATTGCATTAAATCCGAAAAATTTTCTTAGAAGTGGTTAAACAATTTAATTGTGTTAAGTTCACTACCGAATTCTTCTCCAAAGTAAGGATTAGAAGATCCAAACAAAAGTTTTTGTGGCAGTAAAAAAGGGAAGTCGCAAACCGCATTATCTTTTTGGCTTGACCCAAATTGCAACTGCAACCTCTGAACTCCCGCCTGTGGCCTTTGCTTTGTCTTTGTTCCTTAAACTTCATTGTCCTTCTGTGTCGCGGGTTTTTTCCCACTCCAGAATATCTTACTTCCAACTCTGCTTTTTGTTCGATTTTTTTTTTTTTATCATTTAATGTGCGGCAAGTTAATTGCCGAAAGAACTTTGCCGAGCTGTTGCTGCTGTCGCCTTTTATCTGTGGCAAGTTTTTAAAGTATCTCACCCCACCCCGTCTCATTTTAGCCAGGACGAAATTAAAAATTCGCCCGCCGGCCTCATTAGTTGGCAATTATGGGCCATTGGGCCCACCAGGCCAAATGGCTTGTCAAAGTAAGAATTTTCTTATTGAAATTGTTTTGCCCAGAGGGTGAAGATTCTCCAGTTCCTTGGTTATCAATAGGTTCGCTATTTTTTCGCTTCCCTTGCCCGACTGCAAATGCTTATTTCCACCCGCTTAAATGACTTTTCATTTCTATTTGACGGAGGCGGCGTTTTAATTAGATGTTTTAGCTGAATACACAGGACACCCGATACACCCTAGTGTGGAAATTCTTGGCTGGTTGGGACGGGATGCATTCGCCTTAGAAAAGTTTGCAGTTTTCCTTTGGGGTTGCTCTGAGTCCATTGACCATGCTAGGCATCCCCTTAATCCTTGTTCCTGCGGGGGTGGATGGAAATTGATTCCGGAGGGGTTTCTAGTATTAGATTGCATCCCTGTTTATCTGGGTAAATATATATTGCAATTTTTGAATGTAACTAAAATTGCATTTTATTAAATAGAAAAGTTTAATGGTATTTAAAATCCATTTCGATCAAATTTGTGTACATTTAAAACATACCTATTTAATTGTTCTCTGTAGCCTGATCTACACAAATTTGATTTAACATACAAAGTTGACCTTCTGGGATCGAAAAAACTTTAATAATATAGGATACTAATAGGATACAATACTACTTACTGAGAGCTGTAGTATAAATTGTACACTATTTTTTGTACGAAATTAAAATATCGCCCACGAATTTTTGGGTCAATAATGCATAGTATTGAATTACTACTACTGTGTATAATTTTCATATTGTATTTTAATAGACAATACAGCACTTCTGTATACTACAGGTTTTTCTTAAAATCAAGACTATTAATTTTGAACTGAACATTTATATGTATGTGATTTTAAAATATCAACACCGATCCCAATGGTGTGATTCTCGGTATATAAATAAAAATACAAAGTATAGGCCCTATACTATTTAGTATTGTCTGTAGTTTATTTTTATCACACGCGTATCAAATTCAATTTTTTTTAAATACTAAAAAGTAGTATCCAATGCTCTTTCTTAACGTTTTTCTATCTGGTTATATTTTCTTATCTTATCTAAAGTATACTTCTGATCTAAATTGAATGTTCTTTATTTGTGTCAACTGCTCAACTGGCGCTTCAATAGAAGTTGCCTTGTGGTAGTCTCTGATCCATATATACACTCATAAAATGAAAATAGCTCTTGCCAGCCAACTTGCTTCATATCTTGGCCGTTAGTCAATTTTATTTGTTATATACATATGTGTTCCCTTGGTTGGCTTATTTGGCTCTTGAAGAGCGCCTACGCAAAATGCTGAAATATAATCCACTTGGCATACGCATGCTTAAGAGCCTTCATTCATTCACTCATTGATAAGCTTTGGTCAACTTTGTGTCATGGTTTTCCGCATGTGAAAAAATGTTTGCTTTTGTGATATGATGTTATGAATGTAGTTCAGTCATGCTGGTTGTTTATGCATAAGTCACTAAAAGTAAACACTTTTACACAATTATTGTAGATACTCGTGAAATTATCTGCAACGTATTTAATCAATTATATTATATTTACTAAAGGTATTTTTCTATTGTCATTATCTGAAGTATGTAAATGTCAACCTTTTTAACCACATCATTAAATAATTTTTTATAAAAATAATTATGATTCACTAAAAAAAAAATGTTTTAAAATAAGTTTCTGATTAAGAGTTAATAAACTATCTCGTATGCTGTAAAATAATGATCAGATTATTTGTTTGATTTGTGATTAATTTTAAATATCGTGTTTAAAAGAAAATATTCTTTTTGTTTAGAACACATACATTTTATTGTTTGTAACGTGCCACTTTATCAAGGTAGTAAAATCATAAACACATGTAAAACGATTCTACCTTACTTTACATTTGACATGTCTAACAGTTTCGTAACATTATGGCCTGCAATGTTACATTTTTGATATCCTTTCAAAATCTATGTTTTAGCCGGTCTATAAAAGTAGAAAATCCTATAACCTCTAGAGCTTTTTATAAAGATTTTAGCCCAATGTGTAGAGTTTTTAAAAATACAGCTTTTTGTTCGTTCCTTGTGTTGATTTAGTCCTTGCGCGCAGTATCGGTTCTTAGTAAAGTATAAAAAGTATACAAGTATAAAAGAAGTCCTTCAGATTTATAACAATTTCCAGTTAGTATAATCGAAATACAAAAATATAACTGATTAGTTGTATGAAAGAAGTCCTTCCGAATTATAATAATTTCTTATTTGTATTCCTAAAGCAGCAAAGCTGATGACTTGTATTTTTTTTTTCATTTAACTTTCCACATTAAGAAAAATAATCGGTTCTTAGTACAGTATAAAAAGTATACAAGTATAAAAGTTGTATAAAAGAAGACCTTCCGAATTATAACAATTTTCGGTTAGTATAATCGAAATCCAAAAATATAACTGATTAGTTGTATGAAAGAAGTCCTTCCGAATTATAACAATTTCTTATTTGTATTCCTAAAGTAGCAAAGCTGATAACTTGTATTTTTTTTTCATTTAACTTTCCACACTAAGAAAAATAATCCATTATCATTCTTATCAAAATGTTCGTGACTTAGACTATAATTAGCAAATTTCTGTATAAAATAAGACTCGCAGATTTATAACATCCTAGAGATGTAGTCTATAACTGTAGAAATATAATGAATTATCACAGGATAAAAGCATTCTACTTCATATGTATTTTATTTCTTGTATAAGGTAAACAAAAAGCCTTCAATCTGTTCTATATATAACATCTGGATTGCTTCCTAATCCAAAAATATTTTCCGTATAAAATTATAACCTTGTTTTACATGTGTAAATAAAGTTCAAGCATATAACTAATATAAAAGTTTTACCGCAGAAGTAGTTATATTTAATAGCAAAGCTTTCTTATAACATCAGAAGAAATATAACTAATTTTCTGTATAAATGTGACGTCACATTATGTCATTTATTTTTATATTATAGTGCTATAAAGCGTTTTTACTTGTATAACGGTGAAAAGTCCTCCCCTGTTTTTAGACGGAATGTATAACCCTCATACAAACTGAATTTACTACCCCTATTTGTGTTCATTTTCACTATAAAGCACCCCCGATAATTTGAGTTCATTCTCACTACTAACCCCCGACAATTCGAATGAATACAGAGGGGAAAGCCACTTTACCTATACCAATGTAATCTGCTCACTCAGCTGCAAAGATAATGAATGAGCTGAAAGTGCATTTCCCCTAGTTGAAATCCTCAGAGTGCCTTGCTCTGCC